TAATTACGCGTTATTGTTAATATTATTTTCGACTTTCCAGTACTTTACACCACGTAATGGTAACTTTTAGGTATAAAGAGTCACTAGGTGGTCACGAAACGTTTTACTATACTTGGGTACAGAAAAACGTTACGGCGCGTTACATGGGGTGGGGGGTCAATAATCTCCAAAAATTGCGTGACGTAATAGTTGAACGCTCCCTACATCAAAAATTTAATGTTGAGTGCCGAAATTGTAATTTAAAAATTTATTTGACTGGACTACGTAGAATAAAGGTCGAAACAAAGCAAGCGGAGTCGAAGCTTAAAATTATCATGTGAAATTATGATTTTAATGCTGCAATAATACTTCATCATTTTTATAGTCGTATTAAAAATACTAATTATTTTTTTAATTTTATTGAGTATATTACTACGCAGATCCAAACTATGATGCTGTTAATCCTTATGTTTCGTAAGTTTCCTATTGTTAAATACAATAAGTAGTATATTTTTATATACTTATACAAATATAGTAATTGTTTACGTGTGTTAGTTTGAGGCCGCCTTGCACATCATGATATTCATAAAAATCAAATGATGTCAAGGTCTGTTATAAAATTAAATACCTATAACGACGTATTAACTGATATGGATTATTATTTTATTATATATTTAAGAACCAATTAACCTGAATTACCTATAACCTGTTCTCAAAAGAACCAAAAAAAGTTAAAGTGAGATGCGTTGCGTGAAGTTATAAAAATGATTTTTAATGTCGATCTCGATAAATGAAGTATCCAACACGATTTTTTCCACAGTTCCTAAGATTAGCACACTCAATCAAACAGACAGTCTTCACCATAATAATATCATACAGACGTTTATGTGTGTGTGTGTATAAGTTTTGTTATATAATTATGTTACGAATAAAAAAAATACAGTACTATTAAACGTTTATTTAAATACAAACCTCAAGTTAAAGATTGCGTGTCAAATGTGAGCCTTATAAATTATAAGGGGATACCCCTTACCATGTCTCAGTGATGTCTACAGCTACACGCACGTATCCCTCAATCATGAAGTTTATTAATGACTTTTATGGTCTAAGATCCCGCTATACAACGACCTTCACCGAGATGCTTATTTAATGAAACGTATTTTATATTAAATTTAATATGTCAATAAATATAATCCATATAGGTTGTCTAGCAAATTTCAGTCCATAATATGTTTAATTAATAATTTAAAAAAAAATATTTTTTTAAACATTTCACCGGTATGATTATTAGATAAATTCTATACCAATCGAAAGTATGAAGCCCATAGAATATGCAAACTTTTTGCTGCCCATTCTTTTCCGGTCACAACTATCGGGTTGCCTGGTATAAACAGGTAAATCTGTACTAGCATTTTGCAACGGTCTGTTTATTGAATGAAATTTAAATGAAATTAAAGATTATTTTATTCTGAACACGGTGGTATAGGGTTGTCTGCGAAAAATCAGTCCAGAATTGCGGTTGTCGAATTTTAAAAAGTAAAATATTGCTAAAATTAGTATGATTTAAAATTATCTTAGCTAATACATCTTCTATATTTCTATATTAAAATATAAAATATATATTTTATTTTCGTAAATTCCATGTGGCTTAATGCAACGGATCCAATATGCGTGAAATTTGAGCCTGAGAACTGCGGACGGTTCTTAGATGAATATTTAAAACCAGTAGGATTCATTGGGGATCATACACCTTTAAAGATAGAAGACATTGTCGAAAAAAGTGAAACAGAAAGTGATGACGAAGAAGATTCAGAAGTTGAAGATCGTAGTTTTATGTCGTATGACTCGGATTCTGAATAATTAAAAAAAAAATTGTATTTTTAATTTTTTACAATAAATAGAAGTAATTTTTTAATTGTTGTTTTTGAAGTTATACTTCTTTAGGCGCGTTATGAAAAATTGATGAGAGTGAAATTTTACGATGCGCGCGCACCGTGACACTAAATTATCAGTATGGGCGCCGAGCGTGCGCGAGCGAGATGGAAATAAGACAATCTACAAGTAGAAAGAAATAGAATATGCGTGAAGTTAGCAGCTATGCTAAGAATTTTGAATGACCATAATGACATTTACCTTTTAAACAAATAAAGGAGTTTTAATTATTTTTTCAAATAAATTTAGGAAAGCTTTTTCACAGAGACCTATTGTTACTTAGTTAAAAGGTTATGAAACATACGTAGTTATTAAATTGAATGAATAATATAATAAAATAATAAATAATTATTAATATTAATTAATAATTGAATAATATACTAAATATTAAATATTATTAACGTTAAATATTTGTTATTAATTATTTAATATTTTAAAAAAATAAAGAAAGCCAAAGAAGTTTAACTTCTTACGCGCGTACATAAGTACACGCATCCTTTTTTTATTTTGTCTTCTTATAATAAAAGTAAAATTTGCAAGATTACCCTGATTAAAAAAATTCACTTTTATGGGGTTTGAATTTTTTCCAATAGTTTCAATTGATTTCAATTTCTCTGTTTACATTTATAGATTTATAATTTGCATGTAGTAGGTAAATTTTTTAATTTTTTTCAATCAATATTTTTAATCAGGGTATTATTATATATGAATCACTACAACCTTCTTTTTTACTAAAGATGTATATATACTTTAGTGTCACATAAAAAATATACACATAAATAATTAATTGATTAAAAAAAATTAAATAACTATTTCTCTATTTAAATAATAAACTACTCCAAAATGATGCATAATTATACGAGTCCATCGCTATCCTTTTCTTTTCCAAGCCCAAATAGCATGCGCACTCTCATTCTTTAAGTGGGCGGACTTTAAACAGCTGCTATGCTGTGTCCTCTTCTATCGCATAGGATGGTCGGTTGGGACCTCTCAGTCGCACACATTCACTTGGAGCAATATTTTACTTTTTAAAATTCGACAACCGCAATTCTGGACTGATTTTTCGCAGACAACCCTATACCACCGTGTTCAGAATAAAATAATCTTTAATTTCATTCAATAAACAGACCGTTGCAAAATACTAGTACAGATTTACCTGTTTATACCTGGCAACCCGATAGTTGTGACCGGAAAAGAATGGGCAGCATAAAGTTTGCATATTCTATGGGCTTCATACTTTCGATTGGTATAGAATTTATCTAATAATCATACCGGTGAAATGTTTAAAAAAATATTTTTTTTAAATTATTAATTAAACATACTCTGGACTGAAATTTGCTAGACAACCCATATGGATTATATTTATTGACATATTAAATTTAATATAAAATATGTTTCATTAAATAAGCATCTCGGTGAAGGTCGTTGTATAGCGGGATCTTATATTATTATCAGACAGTCACATTGTAATAGGGTAGACCGAGGTGAATCGGATCACAGGGCGAATCGGATCAAACTAAGAAATGTGTTGATAATTTAAATATCACATTCACATAGAACGCACTCAACCGGCGTTTTGTTTCTCTCCATTTACTGAGCACCTCCCGACATAAGCAGTATTTCGATCGCGCTTGTGGATCAGTGGCAATGCCGCTCGTCATCCACTCGGTTTTTTGTGTGTGTCGCAATTTGGCGTTCATCTAAGGTTACGTACTTACGATTTCTTTGTGTCATATGACGGATTTTTCTTAAAATTTAACTACATTGGTTTATATTGTTAAGCAAGGTGTTAATATTGAAGAACCAATTCGCTTTTAAGTATAATCTTAGAGGTTAACGTCTAAAATATTTATTTCAAAAGTCTTAATTATGGGGCTAATCGGATCATATCCTTAGGGGCGAATTGGATGATACTTTTAAACTGATTTATTACATTTTTGAGGTTATTGATTCATATTTATTTCATGACCACCGGAGAATGGTGTCAAGAAAAAATGAAAGAGGCTGTAAATTAAGTCCAGAACAAAGAGTTGACCTTGCGTAAAGCTGCTAAGAGTTTTTCAGTACCGTTCACGAGCTAACAGAAAAAAAGGACCATAAAATATATTTGAATTATGTGCCAATAATTAAAATTGATCTTATTATTATATATTTTTACTGATTCCAAAGTTATTTAACACTATACCTTAAAATTTTGTTATATTTTGTGCACGATCCGATTCACCCCGAAAGTTGGGGCGAATCGGATATTTTCCTTTTTTTAGTTTTTAATAGCTAATTAAGAGAATATATGTATGATTTAAGTTTTCAAATGTTTATTGCATAGCTAAATGTTACTTCTTACGATTTTATCAATAAAAATAACATTATATAGCACTTTAGTATGATTTACTCAACCTCAAAGAAAAAGTGATCCGATTCCCCTCGGTCTACTATATGACATCTCTATACAAACCCTATCCAGTATGTTGCACGGCAAGCCCATCGGTCCGGTCTTAAAACATTTTGTATACATAAAATTACAATTAATTATATTAAAGCAATAATTAGAGATAAATATTAAGAAAACTTTGCTCAGTTTCCGCCGTAGCTGAGTGGTTAACGTCTTTGTATTTATAACCTGGATCCTGAGTTTTTTTGCGAAACAATAATTTTGCTAATCAAACTTTGATTTTAAAAGTAATGCCCGTTTATAAATTTTTAAATCAAAACGGATTTTTATAAATTGATGACAATAAATGACTGAAACGTCTCAGTCATCTTTAGACATAAGGTCCATGCGTCTAATAACATCAGGGGCCTTAGTCAAGATGCCTTAACAGTAGTGTATGTAGAAAGTCGAAAACTTAATTTGTATGGAAATGACAGTTCGTGTCGAAAAGTTTTCATACAAATTTAGTTTTTGACGTTCTACATACACTACTGTTAAGGCATCTTGACTAAGGCCCCTGGTATGTTAGCATAACAACATACCACATAATTTGCATATTATATAAGTAACATTGAAATGTGTTCAAGGTTAAAAATGGCTGCTTACAAATATAATTTTAATTTACTGTACAAATAAAACGCACTTCGATTTATACATAATGTTTCTAATTAATTACTTTTCAGTCCCCGTAATGACAATTCAATATTCAATTAAAGTTCATGGGAAGGTCGAACTAGCTGACGATGTGTCAAGCATTTGGAAATACTTATCTAAAGTAATTAATAGTCCAACAAATAATTTTCCGGAAGAAAATGCCAATGTACCTAAAGAAGGCGTAACTAAACTTCTGCGAGACGAGATAAAAAAGAATGGGATTATTCATCTGTTTGGGAATCATGAAAAAGCACGAAAAGAAGATCCATATGTTAATAATATTAATGTGTAAATAATATGTTTATTTAGTAAATGTGTATTCCACCTACGAATTAGGTCATCGTTTAAAATAATGTCATGTAAATCTGTTACAGAATGCTATACAGTTTTAAATGTAAAGGTACGATTCTACCAATACAGCGTGCAGCACATTTGTTACAAACATTTTGTGCAAAACCAATAGCAGAACACGTGCTTAGCCGCGTATCGGTTCTGACCCCACCGGCAATGCTGTGTTTAACTTTTGCGCGCAAAGTGTTGCACATTTGTTAACTAAATTGAAAAATATTATGCGTCTTGCTTCCCCGAATATATTCTTGATCATTCAAAAAATTACTTGGCATAGTGCGCGCACAATTAAATGTGTTCGCTTTGGTAGCGGAAGAAAGATTGAGTTCACAACGAGTGTGTCTGCGCACACGGTAAAAGTAGTGGACTCATGTCGACGCACAGTTGTGCCTTGTGCTGAAATTTTCGCGCACAATTTGTTATTGTTCGCTTGACTGAGTCGACAAAAACAAACATTTGTGCCGTACGCTCTGCAACACCGCACAGTTCAACACACTGATGGAATCGTACCTTTAGGGTTGTAGAAACGGGGTTTAGGCAAAATCACTGCGACAGGCATGACCCACTAACGCCAAATACATCACGCCTGTCGCAAAGGGATTTGTCTCAAGCCCCTTAAAAGGGGATCAAACTTATTCATATCTCTTCATAACTTTCCTCTTGTATTGCATGTAACCTTTTAACGCCAAACAAAAATAGTCACGGACATAGTGTGAGCTCATATCATTCTTATAGGAGTACTGTTCTCACCTCTGGGCAGCTCCTTCCATTTGACCATATTCAACGAAGAGCGGTTTGAATCGTTGACGACCAATTCCGCTCCGAACGGCTTAATCCCTTGACGTTGTTTGGAGATGTGGGGCCCCTCTGCATCTTCTACCGCATTTACCACGGAAATTGTTCAGAGGAGTTGTTCGAATTAATACCTGCAACTGAGTTTCATCATCGGATGTCGAGGACGAAATTGTATTGTCGTATCACCTCGACATCTGACGTTTCACAACTGAGCAACTGATATTTATGGCAGTTTATGAAGCGCACCACATCTATGACGAACCAGCTGCCCACTGAAGTATTTCCGAACCAAGACCTTAGGGTCCTTCATGAAAAGAGCGAACCAATTCTTAAAAGACCGGCAACGCACTCGCGAGCCCCCTGGCATTGAAATTGTTCATGGGCGGCATCACTTAACATCAGATGACTCGTTAACCCAATATTCTATAAAATAAAATTGAAATTTATTTGGCGGTAGTGGGTCCTGTCACAATCAGATTTTGTCTCAAGCCCCAAATTTTTTGTTTAAATATAAGGTAGTGTAGGGAGTATAACAAATATTTGGTTTATTTTAGTAACTTTTAATTCATTAAACACATGACTGTGCGAATACAGTATAGATTAGGTCATAGAGTACAATTTTAGGTGAATCAACGTTTCAATCAATAAAACTGTTTTTTTTTGTGAAACTCGTGTTAATAAAAGACGATCTATCATTATTCATAATTGGATCATTTTAACAATATTAAATACTTCTAAAGAATATCTATTAGTAACTTAAATTATCGGCAACTGTAACAATACTAAAGCTTTCATAAAAAGCATAATTTTACAAAATATCTAAAGCTAATTGTCCATATGATATTTACATATTCAATAATTAAATTTTACAAACACGTACTTTTTTATTTTTGATAAATGATATTACAAAATATTAACTATAGATGGCGGGGTTCCACTATGAAATTAAGCCAAAAGTATATTAATTGGGATAGATTCATCCAACTATTTATTTTCTAATATTGCTAGGGTCCAAATTGTGGGATTGCTTTGATGTTTTATAGTTGTTTATTCGATAGGTATTTAGGTGTATGATGACAAAAGTATCATAAACTGAGCTACCTATAAAAAATGATTTAATAAAATGGTATGTGACTGACCAATGCAAATAGAAAAAAACAAAACAAAACGAATAGAAAAATCACATATATACAAAATCCTGTTCTCAAGTTAAAAAAACCAGAGATGATAAACGAATAATAAATGGATGTCTACAATAATACTTTATAGGAAATGAGTATGTATATCTAAATCAAAGACGGTTGTTCACTGTCACTTATAATATTATAAATGCATCGCAGTTTTTGATTAGCTGATAAAAATTATAATCTAATGATTCCGTATTCGATGAAGCTGAAAATTGATTTAACAACAGCCAAAAAACTCTTTGTAACATGGAACAGCGCATTTGAAAAAAAACAGTCAATCGTAATATTAATTGTATGGAAATTATATTAACTCACGCGCGCTCGGTCACGCGACCTTTTTACCTACAAATTCGATTTGCGTTAATTGGTTATGAGTTATGACACGAGCAAAATAATTTTGCACGTGCGGATGGAACAAGGGTGCCACGACTTTAACTTATTTATTAAACTTCTTTATACGGAAAAAAATAAACTTTCACTGTGTAATCCCCGCCTCCTAAAGCGAATTTTGGATTCGATAACATAGTGAATTTTTATGGGGTATTATCGTTACCATCATACACAATTAAATTAGGTAAATCAAGGCATAAACTATGACGAAAAAGACAAAGCACGATTAATTAGAACATTTTTGTTTTATTAAACACACCAGAACAATTGTAAAAAACGATTACTCATAACGTAAGTATGCAAATAAATAACAAAATAAACAATTAAGCTACTTTAATCTTAAGTAGTTTAGTTATATTTTAATTACAGATGATAGAACTAGATTACCATATATATCTTTTCACGTTGTAGTTAAATATAGCAATGGATGCAGATCTTACTAATATTGAGATATATGATAAACAATAAAATAATAAAAACAACAAAAATAAACAAAAATACGTTTATTAATAACGAATTTTTATAAAATATAATATTTACAACAACATAATCACAAATGAGAATAGGCCGCAAATAAAATCCGGGCCAATAATTTAGTACACTTTTATACCTAATGGAATATATTTCGTGTAATTAGTGTTCGCAGTGCATCCCATAAGATTTCTTTAGAAAAAACTCGGCTTATATTCTATAAATATTTTACTAAAACTTGAAAACATAACTTGTACAATAACCCCATAAAAATCAGTCTGATTACACCGATTCGATTATTCATAGACACTGATTTCACCTTAGCCAAAATAGTATCATAGCGTCAAATTGTGTTAACGCTTTGACGAATCTGGGTATATTTAAATCAGTGTAAAGACTGATTTAGTTTATAAGATAGCATTGCTAGCCAAAAACAGTGACACCGGATATATTAATGTCGTAAATTCTAGCAAATAAACCACATTTTAAGGATAGGTCACATTTAAATGCTAAGTCCACCGTATAGACCGTATTTGTCTACGACTTTGAGATGTAATTAAAATGGAAACCATGGCAATAACATCAACTCCACAATCGGCCAACATTTTTGACCAGCAGTGTTATTGTGTCGGCCTAGTAATACAATGAATAGGCATGAATATATTAATGCCCCGACGCTTTAAGAATATATAAATATATACATAATTTAGGCTATTAATTTCAAACAGCTTATTTGCAAATTGTCAAAATGCATTCCGACGCAACATAAAAGTCAATTGTTGTCAACATATTAAGTTTACAATTGTTATAAGATTAAATAATAGATGTATTATATTTAGTATGGTTTGAGAACAGAGTGGAGGAGGACCTAATGCAGGTGAAAGCCAGCGCTTGGCGGGAGGACAGGGAGCGCTGGAAGTTTCTCGTTTCGGAGGCCAGGACACTTTTTGGGTCACAGAGCCAGGGCAATGATTGAGTAAGAACAATCATTTAAAACGATTCCAAAACGTACTTCGATGAAATAATGCCATGGGAAGATATTTTTAAAATACAGTGGATTTCGTTTATAACGAAGATGAGGGTACCACTCTAATTTCATTGTTATATCTGGACGTCGTTACAAGCATAAAGACATATTCTAAGTAAAGACACAGTTCCTACTTAAAATATCACTTTGTAACTGAACCATAAATTTAACTCGGTAACATACACGCTTGCTGACCATCTGTGTGACGGAAAAAGATAAGTGTGTGTGTGTCTTTGGCGACCGACTCAGGCCGCATTATCTGCATGGGTTTTAGAATTTGTTACAAATGATTCATTTAAAAAAAGATTGCTATACCCGAACTCGGCGTTATATTGAAGTCGCTATGAATATATATATTGCATAGCTATGAATTTTCTACTAAAGTATGCTTTAACTTCAAAGGAGTTAAATTTAACGTCGCTATAGCTAACTGGTCGCTACGACCAAGGTCCTAATAAATGAAATCCACTGTATATATAATTCGTATCTAATTAAGTAATAGTATCTAATTTTCACATAGGGCTAATAAATTAGTGATACAATATAAATAAACTACCTACTAAACGCCGGGGCTGTTCAGTTTCAGTATTCAACGGAGGTCAGGGTTGTCGTTAATCTGCTTCTTGATGCGAACGAGTATAGTAGTGTACCATTGGTCGAGTCGGGATATGCTGTCGTAGGTTTTTACAGCTTCGGTGAACGCATCCATGTTCTGCTCTTCCAGGTGTTCAATCAATTCCTGAAAAAAAAAGTTTCATTTTAAGTTCTAATTTCGATTTGTGGCAAAATGGTTTGGGAGGTATAAATACAAAAAAAACTAAACATTGAATTTTATTTCATATTTTGATTGCTCAGTTTTATTGTAAAAATATATTTATACATTATATGATGCCATTCCTAACATATTCCGAGGGACTTAAATGAATGCAATGAATAATCTCAAGAGCATCTATATTTTTAAAGGTTTAATTAATGTTAATGTGAATTACCTAACACCCTAATTTAATTATATGAATTGTAATTAAAGAATACGTTTTTTTTGTACTAAAAAATACTATTAATATTATGTAATTATAAAATAACTAAATATTTGTACGAAGCAAAATTAAAATCACAAAATAATCTCAAATTAAAATCTCGGCTTGAGCTCTGACAAACATTTCAAACTTCATACAGAAAAATGATTTGACAGCCATAGAAACTATATTTAAGTTTGATTAACGTTCTAGAATACTGTCCCTTCGAGCTCTATTTCATTAAGATATATATAAAAAAATTTACCTTAATTAGCTTGCATTCCCGGGTATCGGCAAAGGCAGGGTAAAGCCCACAGTACTTCTCGACGGCGTGCTGAGCGTTCAATATGTCCACACAGAGATGGCACAGAGCAGCACGGAACATGTATTCCTTGGCGCTGTATTTCAACAAGCTGTTGTCTAGGGATGATTTTGCTATCTGGAATTATAATTTTAACGTTTTATTTTAAAACCTTCAGATATTTTCCGCTTATTATTTTGTGATAAACGTAATGTAAAAAAATCTGAAACGGTCTATAGGTCCAAACTAAAACATATTTTGTTTAACTATTATAAAAATGTGCTCAATAAATTAATTTTAAAAACATTTTTACGATATTGTAACACCAAATCAACACTTTAGGCTTTATATTTTCAACAATAAGAAAATAAAATACTCGTTCATTCTACCTTAATAATAATCTATATATATAATCTATTACCAATATAGCAAGGACACTAACAGAAATATTTCCTATTATTCATACTAACCTGTTCATAAATCTGTATGGCCTTGTCATAGTGTTCCAGCTGAGCTGCATACTGGGCCAACTTCAGCATACACTTGTTAGCTGAAGACGTGGATTCCTCACCACGGAAGTAGTCAGCTGCTTGCTCGTAATGTTGCATAGCACGACCAAGGTCTACACACTCGGTCTCGTAAAGTTCTGCTATGTTCTGGAAAATAAATGACAAAAGTTGAATGGTATCACGTGTCATCGGCAGACTAAACTACGACTGTAAAGTCTAGTAGAAGTTCGTATTTCGTTCTGAATATTATCGTGAGGTATTTTTAGGAAATACATTTACGTTCTATAGCTACAAAAAACCCAGTGGCACTACAACATTTTTGTCTAATTCCACAGATTTCTGTATCTTTCGTCGCCTGACAAATTCTGTCGACTTTTTGGGTGGCAATCCGGATTCCTCACGATGTAATCCTTCACCGTACGAACGAGTGTTAAATATGAAAATAGATAACAACCAGTTAAGTCTACTGCTGAGGCTTCGAACCTGATACCTCAGGGATGGGAGTCTCACCCTAGAGCCACCAGTACCCTATACTACATCTGCCATTAAAAGTAATGTTCTTGTTTCTCTTAAAGGGAAAAGCGATAATTTTACCAAAATTAAATAACTATTATAAATACATACTTGATGTTGTTTAGCGGCTACAGTAAAGCGTCCCATATCAGTGTAAATCTCAATAGCTTTAAGAAGACAAGATACCGCTTCTGCAACAAAATCAAAGATGGGTCCCACCTTTAATATTCTTCTCGTTTCTCCAGGTCATTAATTGTTTAATAAGATATTGTTGTCAGAGAGTAATAATGAAGTAAAACTTTCATAGATTTTGTTTTTTTTGCCTTGTCAAGGAATGCCTACGGTATATGTCATCCCGATTAAATAATGTTGCATAATGGTAAAGATTCTACTATGATAACTCATTGAAAGTGATCGCGTAATCAGTGACATTCAAGTAATACAACTATACTATATATATATATATTATAGTTGGGTGGTGAGTACTCTGCTATAATTGCCAAACTACAGCCTAAATGTAAACACCTCACTGTTGAAGTCCTGGAATTGATTTTCACCAATAAAAATATTGTAGGTAGATGTAGAAGGTTAAAAAAACAATGAAGTAGATGCACTAATGAATCTGTACCATGCATTTGTTGAGTTGTGATACTTTAAAAGAGTCAACTAGTGGATTGAGGTTGAAAGTTCCATCTTATAATTATTTTTTCTATCCCAAAAATATAACTTTACTTTCACCTGTATGACATTTTAACTGTGGATACTAATTACTAACAAGATTTTGTAAATATTTGACACAAGGGTAACTTATATATTTTTAGGTGTTGATAATATACAGTAGAACCTCGATAACGTAAACCTCGGTAACATAAAAACCTCTGTTACTTCAAAAAATACTATGTTCCCTTCCCATCAGAGCCCAAAACCTCTATAACTTAAAATACGCAACCTCTATAACGTAAATAAATAATCTCTGTATAGGCCCTCAGTAACTAAAAGAAATGTTTCCACAACCTCTATAACATAAAATTGTTTGTGAATGAGTCATTTTATAAGAGTGTCAAAACAAATGGTTTCGGTATTTATTGCTTGCACGTGTTTACTAATGTATTGTTAACGTAAACAATACATTACCTATTGTTTGCTTTATCTAAATTCTTCAAAGCTTTGCGGCGGTTAGCTTTGTGACAACGACTTACTTGCATCATAAGTTAATGTGTTAATGTATTCTCCTCTCTATTTGTCATTGAAAATCAAATCGATTATAAACAGTGAATTTTTTAAAACAAAAGAAAATCACAGTTTTTTTTAAGTAGACTAAACCTTTAGTTGTTGTTTTATTTTTATGTAATGTAAGTAATGTGAATAAATATGATTAAATATTTAATTTTCCATCCTTCTGATGCATTCAAGTAAAAATGGGAGGAAGGGTACATAGAAACATGTACATACCTCTATATTAGCCTTTACCTGACACAGAACCTTGATAACTTAAAACCTCGATAACATAAAATATTTTGTGTTTCCCTTGGACTTTATCTTATCGAGGTTCTACTGTAATAGGTACAAGATTGTCATTCATCATTAGTAAAAAAGAACAATGTTTAGTATACAGTATATGTCATTATGAAACTGTTGTCCACAACTTTTGAAAGGATATTAATATTGTTCATCAGTCTTAAAAATTGACTTAAATTAATTCTTCTTTCCTCGTCTAAGTCAAAACTATTTCTTGCTTACTTAAAGTTTAAACTAATAGACATTTAAAACTACAGCATTATAAAGAAATACTTTTTCATTTATGTAATCATAATCTACTTACCATTAGGATCACATTTCTTATAACAATTAGAAGCATCTACAAAGTTTGTGGCAGCATCATGGCGGACACCAGCTTTAAGGTGAAGCTGGGCAGCACTGCAGAACGCCTGCCCAGCTTGAGCCCACTTCTTAGCCATCTTGAACAAATTTGCTGCTCTGAGGTAGCAATCTACAGCTTCTTCAACCTTCGATGAGCCCCTAAATTTAATATAATTTCCATTTATTATATTATTAATTAATTAGTACTGAATAAGTTCAGCTTGGCTTTAAAATTGTGTATTGAAACTAGTTCAAGAGATACATGGTATTATTCAAAGGCTTTCTGTAGCCTCTATAGAAACTACAAGACATTTGTATAAAATGAAAATGTTGCTACAATTAACAGATTATTATACCTTGCATTTCTGTGCTGAACATGCACAGAATCTTTTTTGTTTGTATATTATATTGAAAAGGACCTATTTGGCCTATCTTTGTGTTTATTTTTTATATACCTACTTACCAAAAAAGGTAGATTTTAAGTAATAAAACCTATATATAGCTTTCATTTTTACTTAGTAACTCATAACGCCACAATTAATTTGACACTGGTGGATCAATGGTTTTAAAACTATCAAATTATTTCAAATTAATATTAAGTAAAATAGACTTTATAGATTTTTTATTATAATATTTTATAATTTACACAAAACCCCATTATCAAATTTATTAGTATTGAAGTACTGGAGTCAGGTTTCCTATTGGAAATTCATTAGTGATAATTTCTAATGACATAAATGACTAAAATGCAACCTAGATCCTTGATCTTTACGACAACTATGACTTCTAATGTAAATCATTTGAAATTAGTTTTCATAAAATACAAGGACATTTCTGTTTACGTCTCAGCTTAAATTTTGCTAAGATAACGATCGATTAAAATTTGTGTTTCCGAATTATTACAAAAATACATTTTCCTTATAAAAATCAAGTTATTTAGATGACTTTAATATTCCCGTCTATTACTTAAATGTATGTATGTATTTAAAATAAATGGTACATTGGAAATTTAGGAAAATAAAGGAAAGTCATTGTCCTCACCCGAATAAGGATCCAAGAAAAGATTTGGATGTACTGAGCTTCTTTTCTGCCTCCGCTATCAGTTGCATTGCTTTTTGTTCATTATCTGCCATTTTCGTGGCGAATTTATCCAACTATTTTAGCAAAGGATTCCAACCAAAAGTGCAAAATTAATAATTTATTGACAAAAATGTCGTCACTCCTAACGATTCACTTCGTCGCTGTCATCGATTAATTGTTGTTGCCAACCACAAATAAAGATATAGACTTACGTTTAGAAACAAGATGAAATATGATTAATTCATAATATAATATGGCTAAAATATCATATTATTATTAGAACTTAGTTTATTTGAAACTATACTCTTTTATGATATATAAATATGTATAATAAAATAGGCAACCGTATTTTCTAATGCTATGGGTACGTGACTAGTAGATTTGTAACTATGCCTTAGTTAAATATTTTCGTTATTTATTTAAGTTTCGGACAGGCCAAGTTACTTATAGGTCTACCAGAATCTGATGGCAATTTTTTTTTTTTAAATTAGCGATTTTCATATGGCAATAAAAGAAAAATTTCATCTGTCAACTGAAATTTCGAGGAATTGTTTTTGGTTTGGCTTCAAATTTCCTTTAAAAAGTGATGAAAATGTCGAAGAAACCTCTTCGATCGCAAGCAAGACATATTGTTTTCAATGTTTATCAAAGAATACTTGATCAACAAGATGCAGAACATACACAATCATCGATATTGAGCCATGTGCAAGCGTTGACTGGTTAGTAGGAATGACACGTCTTGATACTTTGGTTTATGGGATTCTTCGTGTGTATTATATTATGTACTTATACTAAATTTTGGTTTATTTCAGGGGTTTCTTATACCACAAATAAACTTGGATAGTTTTGATTTAGAATTGATCAGAAACAAGATAAATGAGTTTTACATTGTTTCTTTCTCTCAAATAGGGATCGATGAATAGCGAAAATCTTGTGAACATGTAATAAAAATTTAAAATAAGTTCATAGAACAAGATCGGTTAATTGAGATGCAGGAGGAAAGGTTTATTATAAATACTGCGTTGAAGACTTTTTTATGGATGTGCAGTATTTGGAACCATTTTAAAGTTCTTAATTAATTAATAAACTCATGAACAGAGTAATTGGAGTTTTCATCTAAATTTCAAACCCCACATTCGCCACATTTTCAAAAATTATCATTGGATAAATTTTTATATATTTTGCATATATCACACACAGAATCAGCAGCTATAAGGAAAAAAAAAGTATCAAAACGTTTTACTCCAATTTCCCCAGTATTGCTAGCGTCAATTTCTTTTTTCCCTTTTTGCCATCAGATCCTGGTAGACCTATACAAACCTAAGTAACTTAAAACATTATAGTCGAAACGCCAGATATTCAAAATAAACCATGAAGTTATTTATTTACTTTAATATTTTGTTGAATCGTCGATGGTATCCGTCATGTGACGTTATAATTTCAAAAAGTATTTTTTATTATTCTAATAAATGATAATAAATTAATTGATTAGCAGTAAAAGTAATAACTGTTTTTTTAAATTCACTGGTCACACGTTGACGGGGTTTGCCTACGTATAATTCGTTCATGAATCATGTAAGAAATAATAAGCCGGAGCATCTACCTGATAAAGAATCGGTTGTCTGTAAAGTCGGTTTACTGACGATAGTTGAACGTGACAACGTCATAAGAAAATACAGATGGAATGGTTGTATTTTTCAAAAAAAAAATTTAATTTTATTAGTTTGATAGATATTTTGTATGGATATAGAGGAGGTAAATGGAAATCACAATTGAATTGATCAAGTTACATTTATTTGTACGCATATAAACAATTATGTCAATTTTTTAACGAACGAACGCTGCCGAACGCGCCTCTTTGTCGCTCGTTCCGCGCTCTCGCTTGCACTTCAAGCCTTAAATGGAACGCCTCAGAGCGAGGTAACGCCGCATGCGTCATGTTTTTTCGTGCGTGCAGCCGGCTCCATCGAATTATAAGACGCTGTCACGTCAAAATACTTAGCAACACGCATATTAGTATACCAATTAAATTGGCATGTTGAATGAATGATCACATCACGTCAGCTTATGTCTTTACTCATTTCTATGACAGTGGGTGACGCCCGCCGTAAACGCATTCTTTGTCTAGGGCCTAGGCCATTGACCATTGTTTTGAACCACTTACATGTTGGCCTACTAGTTCAGTTTTAGTTTGATAATTTTTATATATTATATTTTTTATTTACAAAATAATTGTTTTTGAAAATAATTAACGAAGCTTATTTGATTTAGAATATAAATTATTTCCAATTGACATACAGAGAATTCCAATATATCTGTTATAATTAATACAATATACCTCACGATTCGTAGAGTTTAGGACAAATTCTATTAATGACTGTAGGTAGGTAAATACTCCCCACTATTGTATTAATAAAACAACAATCAACTTTGAGTAGTTTTATTATATTTTATACACAATAAACCGTTGCTAATTACAATTCAACAACACACGTATAATATTGTAAGCGTTATTATATTGTTTTCTATTCCAACATATCAAATAATGCTACAGGGAGATTGCATACAATTCTAACAAAAATATATTATGTATTTAGGGAGAGCCAAGATAAATTAGGAAAACGTATCGTTTGGTTCTGTTAGTGATCCTCCGTCAATATCTTAAGGTACTAATTCACTACAATTACTGTTGTTTATTAATACCTAGAGATTTTTAAGTTCAATGTTATTTCGCCTTTAGAATGAATGCTTATAATATTGACAATTTTTACCAGCTATATCTAGTTGTCTCTGAAGCTAAATTAAAGAATAACAACACGTAAATATTAAATAAAATAAAAGATAAATCTTAGAAGTTATTATAGGATATGAATAAGTATACGAGTTTAAGTATTGTCATCTGAGTAGGGGTTAACAATTTTGTCCAAAAAAGACACAAAAAATAAGGTAAAAAAAAATAAAAACAAAAAAACACTTCTTAATCATTTTTATTTCCTCATAAATAAACGAAATATCTCAAGGCACGACAGAGCTAGCAAATAAAATAGCATGTTGATTATTTACATAAAAATAAACACAAGACAAAATATCATAATCAAATAAAATATACAACTAACGATTTCAATGAGTAAATAAATTCAAAATTAGATCGTAGAGATCTTAAAAATATATTTGTGTCTCCTAGCGATATACTAAAGTTCATAATCACAGAATTTAAAAAAAGTTAATTCACTGGAACAAAACGTAGTCGACTACCGAAAAAGGGTTTTTGCCTTGTCAAGGTTTACGGACAAATTGTATTGCACAAAAGTATGAGCAAATGAACTGACTAATTTGGCATAATACAAATATAATCGTCCGCAAACGAAAATTTTACGAGTACATTATATATATAAAAATAATTGTACTATTAAATGATAGCACACAAAATTCAAGGGCATTGTAACAGGCTTATTCCTATGGAATATTAAATGTAACACCTATATCTTATTTACACATAAGTGCATTCAACTATATTGAATATTACACTGATTAAAGATTTGCTACATTATCATAAACATCTACAAGATAATTTTATAATCTATGCGATGAACCCCAGTGTTGCCAGTCTGAAAAGCATTTTTTAAATGTCAAGCATAATATACACGACAACACCGATACAATACTCTGCTTAAGCGATTAGGACGAAAGAATAGCTAATACTTACTACAGTCTTTAATACAATATCACAAATAAAAATCTTTTGATCAAAGTATTGGGACCAGTACGAAACGAGAATAACAATTTAATTCAGAGCATTGAATCACACGCTTGTCATGCAAACTAAGGTTGCCCGATTATAATTATAGAATAATAATTTAAAGTTTTTTGAAATTAAAGATGGTAACTTTAATTTAAAAAAATAAGAAAAATGTTACAATCGTTCATAATAGAACAGCACCTATAAAATCTTTATAAATTAAACAAATTTTTAAGCATTGTAAATACCCAACGCTAGAAAGAAATTAATATTATATCGGAGAACCACGCGTGTTAAATATTACGTTTTGAAATTATTTTAAGTGAAAAACTAAAAATTATCAATGGAATGTGACATTAATATAAAATAAAATGTGAACCTTTTTATAAGGTAAAGAAATTGATTATATAATAAAATTCCTCATTTAAACAAGAAAGCCAATACTGTAAATCGGGTACAATAATGCCGAAAACATAACAAGGTAAAAAGAAGCGCCTATAGTGAAATTTAATATTTACAAACAATAATGACTCAACTAGGTATTTCTAAACTAAAAAATCTCCTACCAGATAAAGTACTCTTTGAACCTAAGCGCATATCGTCTCTATACGTAACAGACATTTTGGACAGCACCTTTAACGTTGGCAAAGTAACGTGAATAAATAATGTATATGGCAACATTTTCACTGATATAAGCAACTGGTACACATGTAATTTTGGGATTTCATTCATAAGATATAAATGTCAGGTGCCATCGAAAATAGACAATCCTATATACAAGGACTATATAACGTTACACACATCACTTATAACATATGAAGTTTTTTTATAATCTGTGAATATGTTAAGTAAATATTAAGGATCCATATAAAAATTTGATAGCTGCCATCGAGATTAGACCGGAAAATTATCCCTTAATTGGTCGTGTAGAAAATTAAAAGGCAACTACAATTTTGGAAAAAAATAGGTAAATATTATCTGACAATATTCCACACTACAGTCGTCTTTGTTAAAATTGCTAATCGTGAAATTCTGACTTTAAATCATTATTAATTTTATTACAATTATATACTTTTAATTCATCATTGTAAGTTAGTACACATTGTCTCGTGACGATATCCGATTCCAGCCACGTGCCAGAAAAAATTGCGCTATTGCGCTCAAAATACATTCCTTTTTCAGGAGCTAACCAGGTAACATCTTTGCAAACAAAAATAGGTTCAATCTCAATGGAATAAGACTCTAGATATAAACACTAAATTAACAGTTTAAGTGAAGTGGTTTGTTGGTTGTGGTGGTACGGGCGGGCGCATTGGATTCATACCCGGCATCATCATTGGTGACGCATTCATGCCCATTACCACGCCCGGTTGTTGCTGGAATTTTTAATAAAAGTATAAAGGACAAGACACTATCTCCTTATTCATAAAAACTAAAAGTCCAATTTCATCATTTCACAAAAATTACTCATTACTTATATCAAATTAAGTTTAGGCGGTGACGAAAATACAGACTCTCTAATTTAGATTTTATGAATAAGGGAAAATATAGACATTCAAAAGCTTGAACAAAAAAACATCTAAATTTCTTAATTCAGGGAATCTCGGTACATAAAGTTGTCTGTCTACAAAGTGTAAGGCAGGTACCGACAGCACGTTTGTATATTTAAAAGCAGTGTTTACATTAAGAAAGTTATTTTGGTAGAAATTTGCGAATATAATGTATGCAAAACAATTATCATCAGCATAGAAAAATCATTGGCACACGAAAATTTCATGGATGATGTGAGAGCTAGCCATGCTCACACACGTGCAATCACACACATAAGCAAAATACAAATAGCTTTGTTCAATATCTTAAGGTAGGTTCAAGTATCCTTGAACTAAACAACCGCATATAAAACTATTTGTAAATCGCTTTTAAATTATTACCTGGTTTGGTGTCTGCTCCTGTGTAATGCCGAATAAATATCATATATCAATCAAAACCACACTTTTTCAAATCACAAATTGACACTTATATTTGATATAGGTGGACCAAAGAAAAGGGACTTTCTACACTAAGGTATAAGCTGGGAGTAAACCTAAGGGATAAAAAGAACTTACCATAACATAATGTGGAGGGTGGAACATATGAGGTAACGTATGTGGCATTGGCGATATGTTCATGCCGGGGCCCTGCAACGCAAAATAAAAGGGGATGCCATGCTATGGGGTGAAATAATAATAGCATTGAAACTCCAAGATACAATTTTAAAATCTAAGTAGTCCGTTAACGCGCATCATGGACACTACTGTACGATTTGAAGCGACCCATAGCTGTTGTGTTTATTGTAGTTGATGCGAGAAATCTTATGCAACATTTTATGATTTATTTTGGTCTTATTAATATTTTTATTATATTTGTTTATTAATAGTTAATATAACTTTTTATCCAAGTTAGAAATAAGCAGTTTAATTGTTCGTAAAATATGTCGTATCTTGGTGTTTTGTATACAAATGGAGAAAAATAAAGAATAGCAAATAAAAGGGATAGTACTGAGCAAACATCGAAGGACAAGACAAGTATTTAGACCATTCATTTTAAGGACTATTTTGCTAGTCTTATTAAACCACAAGTTTTAGAGAATTTTGCGCAGCGGCACATTAACAAAAGTATTATTATTATTATTAAAGTATACGGTAAATAATGTTCAGATCTGAAATTTTCCAGGTTTTAGTCACATTAAGAATGATCCTTATCTCACCATAGGTCTATAGTTAGCTCCAGTTGTGGCCTGCATCGGCTGCGGACTCCAGCCACCACTGCCAGGCTTTGTTGCATTCTTCGGCGAACTCCACTGCATTGGTCTAGCAATACGCATGCTTAATGTCTTTGCGATTTATAAATTTTGCTCAATTCAAAACATTTGTCAAATTTTATAAATGCAAAAACAAGTATTTCAAACTGGTGAAAGCATTCACATAGTGTTTCTACATTCTAAAATTAGCATTTTAGTTCAATAACTATCATGACGAAACTGCCAAATATAAGGCTGAGTTTAGTATCTAGCTGTCGCTGACGGATGTCGCCGTTATAATAAAATATTGCTAGGATTTTTTTTGACCAATCAGCGAGCGTTATACTTAAATCAGACCGCCCTTAAACGTTACATTTTGTAACGTAAAACTTTATTCGTAAATCTTTCTTAGTAACGTTGACAGTACGAAATGATATTTAATAAACACTGGCTCCAAAACATCTATTAATTATCAAAGAGTACAAAACATATAAAACTATTATGTGATATGTTGATGCTTTCACTAAGATGCAAGAGCCTATACACTGATTTACTGATGAGATACACGCGATTTTAATTTGATATATAATATTAATAAAAAAGCATAAAAACAATTTAAATATTGGAATATTTTGAGGTAAATTTTCGCGTTCCTTTTATTTTGTTGTCTTTTTAAGTGCCTTAGTAAATCGGGCCTGTCAAACTTTGTAGTAAAATTTTAGTATTGCTAAGTCGTGAAGCGTATTAAATACATTATCATACATGAAAGATTTTTCGTAACATTTTTCTAAAAGTCTATTTATATAAATGTGAGAACGCGGCGTGCCATTTTACTTTTACGTAACAATATGGTATCAAACTCTTCTTTGAAATCAATGCATAGGCGTTTTGCGTGTGAGGAAATGATGTGATTATAAAAACTACATGATTCACTTTCACTGCACCTTACAACAACATAGTGTAAAAAATTCTCAAAAATTAAACAAATAATTAAAAACCTAAGGCGATTTAAAACAAATTCTTAAACTTTCAGCACAATAATAATATATTTATAAAGAGAATAATCTTACAGCATTATTAAAATAACTTTAATTACAGTTAATCATTAAGTTTTTCTTCACCTTAAATTCTGGAATATAGATTTAGCTTTAATATACTCACTTGGGAGCAGTGGCAGTTTTGTTGATAGACAGGTTATTAGCAAGCTGCGCGAGCGACGAATCCAAGTCGCCAGTTAACACTTTGTTTGGTTGGGTTGGCTGTTGTTGTTGTCCTATTATAAAAAATGGTTTTAAGTAACTGATTTTTGTATTTTGTAAGCCGAAAATAATTATGGGCAATGCATTTGATACTACGGGTTCCTTTTAAACCTCACCGTTTTAAACTCTCCCTAAAGTTCTAATTTGTTAACTATTGGCAGTATTTCTTTAGTGTAAATTTCATTTACGATTTAATTTTAGTGGTAATCTACGTTAAAATTTAGCTTGAAGTAGTTTTCGGCTCACAGTATTATTAAATATCTACGCAACTTAACATAGCTTGGGAAAAAAATGGTATTACAGAAATAATTAAAACGAATAGCCATGCTCACATAATCTAGATTATCACAATTTGTGACTAAATAAACGCAAAACGCTGGAAGCCTATTAAAAATTCACATGAAATACGAAAAATGTTAAATAAAAAAAATGTACAAAATATTTACAACTGTGCCAGCTAAAGCTAGGTGAAACACAAGCGGAGTCGGATTTCATTCCGTATTTAAACGTTCTAAGCATCGAACCCATAGCTGCCATAGGCATCATTGGCTGACGCGCTGGCGACCCGAACATCATCTGTTGACCCATTGGTTGCCCGACAGGTTGACCCATAGGTTGCCCGACAGGTTGACCCATAGGTTGCCCGACATGTTGACCCATTGGTTGCATTGGCATCGCCATATCGCCAAACGGTTGAGCGGCCATTGGGGCAGGCTGCTGCTGTTTCGCCGGGGAACCACCCAAAGACATACGCATGACGTCTTCAAGATCGTCGAAAGCGGACTTTGGTTGGACGTTAGGGGGCGGGGGTCGGGCAGGAGAAGCAGATACCGGTTGTGGGTCTCCCATACCCATGAATGGGTTTGCGGCAGCTTGCACAAAAATATCAGATTCAAATGTACTGTTATATACTGATGTATTAGTACTAAATTTAAAATAATACAAAGTGTATTCCACAATCAACCTAATAACACTAGTACGTTTTAATTACCTTTAAATTAATATATAAATCAACATTAAAATTATGAAATTTTAAATTCTTCGGAAATTAATTAGATATTGAGAAGATTTAATAATTTTAATGTTTATTTACAGATTTATATTACATCCATCACCAAAGTGAAATAGAGTTACCATGTGTTATACGTAGTAATAAGCATTTGAAAGGGGCTTGGAAAAGAGTGGTGTGACTCCAACAGATATGGTTTTTACAAATATTATTCGTTAGTTTTCAGTACAAACAGAAGTGTTTAAATTAATAACAATCGTGTTTTGTCATAAAAATATTTTTTAAAACACAATAACTAACAGAAAAAAAAATGAAAGTGCTCGCTAAGATCTCGCACAGAAGTCAGCATCACAGATATTACAATTATTGTGACAATAGAATATATCGTTCTACAATGTCTTTATAGTAATTTGTAGACTAAGGAGTAAAATGTACCGCATGCCTTATTTTGGTGTTCATACAAACTTACTGTACGTGCAAAATATTTTTTTTTTAAATCCGTGCTAGCACAAAACATCACCACTTCTCTATTGGAGTCACAAATAACACACGGCAACATAGTGCCTCACCTGTAGTGTCAGTGTTACTGAAAACGTTAGTGAAGCTAGCCTCAGAGACGAACGTGTTCGCGCTCGTTGCGTTCGCATTTGCATTTGCGGCAGGGAAGCTAGCCGTGAAACCGTTGCTTTGTTGCCAGAGCGGTTGCTGTTGCGGTTGGGCCGCTAGAAGGTTTTAGGTAGACTCAGTGCACGCCATTTTTTTAACCCAACAATGTTTGGTATAGAAAACCATCTTGGTGACACATCAAGGATCACTTGACGTTTGCACTTCTTGAGAAAAATTACGAGAGAAGAAGACTGTTATGGGGTGACCCCAGGTGCTATTTTTAAATATACAAATAAGCAAACTCCATTTTCTTAAGTCTTTGTAATTTAAAAAATATTTTAAATGTTTTTAATAAATTTGCAAACGAACGGATTATGCGAAAATTCTAAGGCGTTTGAATACTATTTTTAATAATTTATTCTGTTTACCTACTTGTGCCAACTACTATTAAAGGCTGTATTCCAAAACGAATCTAATAGTGCAAATTAATTATTATTATTATTTAAATTCAACACAATTTTAAATCTTGAATTATTCGAGTTTGCTTCATGAAATAAATTGTAAGTCTCGATTCGTTTTGGAACATCCATCTAAGTGCGAAATAATATACAGTGATATTTATTATGTACAATTAAAAGCCCTTTCACCTTTGAAAGCACTACTATTATTATGATACACATTTTTCGGTTAACGTTATACACATTTAGTTAAATACGTTACAGAATGTTGAAATAATTTCAATAAATTCTTATGTTTTTGGACCTATTAAGAAATTCCTGATATTCCATCGTTCAGCTTTCAAGGTGCAGATTAGAATCAAGTTTGTATCATATGTATAATGTGCGACATATGTAATCCTAAAGAACATTTAGTAAATAACAATTATAGTTTAAAAACAATTTACTGAATATTTTTGGAATAAAATGTCTAAAAAAACAAAATTATCGATATTTGTATATCAAAAGTCTTACTTAAATTATTCTTACCTCCACCTCCGAACATATCCGCGAAGGGATTACCAAGAGACAATAAATCGTCAGAGGCCTTGCTCGTAGTATTTGTTTCGACCGGGGTTGGTCCAAACAAATCAACAATGTTCTGGGACTGCTGTGGTTGAGATGATAAGAACGGGTTGTTTGCAGAGTTTGTTGGAGAAGCAACTTTATTCTGAAATGGTTAAAGGTTGTTTTAAATGTGAACCGTAACCTGCCGTTTGGCTTCTGTTCCGTAAAAATTGTTCAGGGACGAGACACGGAATAGAAATGCACAAATATTTTGGAACTTTTGCAATAACTGGACATACAATATCAATAATAAAAAATGACTGATGTCGATGAAATTTAAAATATTACGCTCAACGAAACAAAACCCAATGTCATAGAAAAATATAATAATTATTCTATGACTAAAACGCAAAATCTACTATAGGATATAAAATTTACGTAGTTTTTTTGATAAAATACTTTTAAAAATATAGCCGATTTACCTTACCAGTACAAATATAAATATTATTTTAGATTTAATACTAAGACATAAAACTCTAAGCGTGGAATTCGGTAATAAGGTGGAGTATGACAAAATGTAATACGGGACTCATAATTAGCCCAAATTTTATGCTTAAAACATTGCACAATGAATTCACTAAACCCGTGACAACATGTGATGGTATACATAGATTATCATGACTTGTGAAAGACGAACTTGGAATTTATATATCCAAACGATAAATATACACAAAATTATCTAGACTTAGAAGCCAAGATGATTGTTCAAATATCTCAGAATTTCTAGTTAATCTTCTCCCAGTAAAGACAAAAGCATGTACATGTAGAATTTTTGGCAAAATTTCCCATTTAATAGAAAAGCACCAAGAACCATTCCCAAGACTCAATGAGACCCATGATTGTGAGACCCAAATACCCAAACCACAAATTCCTTACAAATAGTTGAGAAATCTGTGTTACATCTTCTTCACCAGTCACCTCTTCACCTTGGAATAAGTGGACCTGCGAAAGTGTGCTAATTCTAATACTACATTCCTTTCGAACAAGAACGGAACATTTGGTGTACGTACGTGTTAACGTATTACAAGTTATAAGTGCGTATTTGTATTTTGTGGAACTTAAGATTGAATTAGATTAAAACGTTACCAACTTACATGTGATTATAACTAATATTTAAAGCAATGGGAAGAATAAAAAACTATACTAATCTACTGATGTGGTTTTTTATGTTGGACTATTCATTTATCAAAGTTGACTTTAAGTCACTCTACGATGGAGTGGAATATTAATGACAAAAGTTATAACAACGTTTTGTTTTTAGTTTCAGTTGCGTGCACTACGTAAAAGGTCTACTAACTGACTTATTTATTCTTTAAAAGTTAACAGCATGTGTTTTATTAGGTTGAATCAGTGTAACTTTTTCATCGTAAGTAAATTTAATATTTATCAAAAAAACCTAATTCAATTTGGACAAAATTGTACAAATTATTTGATTACAATAAACATCTTAAATGATATCATAATTTTAAAACCGCAGAAAAAAAAGAGTCATCACACGCACATGCATGCTTTTACAAGATTTTCGTAACTAAAAAAAACCTAAAAGCTCACCTTATACTGGTTCATAGCGGCCTCTTCTTCGGCGAGTGCTTGTTGACGTAGTGAGTCGTCAATAAACAGTGACCCATTGGCCTGCGAGTCTATACGGCTTGAAGCAGCCGCGTTGCCAAACGATGATGATGTTGATGATAAAGCTCCCATTACATTGGCTACGTTCTTTTGGGCACTGGAATATAAGGTGTAAAGATTTACTTAATGACAAAATACATGTAAAAGGACCTTGTGTAATGTTTATGTAATCATGTGAAAAATAAATATTAATATTTAAACGAATTGACACAAACATTAATACATAATACATAACGATTACATTTAAGATAAATATATGAATCTATCAAAGATATATTTTTGTACCTGTACTATAGAATTTACCTATAATATATATTCATATATTTACATGCATTATTAGGTTAGTCCAATTCAATTTCCTTATATAATAATTACCTGGCCGTCTGCGTGGGAGTGTTAGCTGCGGAACCGCGCTTCCCCTCCAATGTGGCAAGATGTCCTTCCAAGGCGTCAAGGAGACTGCTGGGTGCGCGGGTCAAGTCGGGAATGTCACCCTTGTCTATACCCACATTTTCTGCAACCTGCAACAAAATAATATTGCATAAATTAACAGCCCGTTAAGCCAATATTTTGTGAAATAATATTGTATAGTCGTTAGAGTCTGGCCAATGAAAGAAGATAACGAAAAAGCGCAGCAAATTATTTGTTTTTAGTATGGTATCCCTAAAAGTTTGATATATTTTGTGGATTAAACTTACTTGATACTTGATTACATTTTGTTATTTTTTACATTGATAGTAACTGTATTTCTATAATAATCAAAATCAGATTCTAAAAAATCAATAAAACAAAGTTTAGGCTATTCGGTATCAAGACAATAAATCATACATTTCATTTCATTTAATTTTATTATTAGCCAGACTCTAACCCTTTTATGCTACGGTCACACGCGCGCCGTGCAGCCCGGCGGGCTGCCTGGCGGGCTGCGCGGCATGCAGCCCGTCCCGGGCCGACGGACATTCAAGCTGTTCACACGCACGCCGACACTTGCCCGATTCGCGGCATTCACGTTCACAGGCGCGTTCACGGGCTCGGGCGTACCGTTTACACGCTCGTGAATATGAATGTGCACGTTGAATGTAGAGTTGAACGCGCGCGTGTGAACCTACCAATTAACTAAATTCTCAAGATCATATTTGAATAAACTTTAAAAAATGTAGGTAACGTGGGTACTTAGAGAGGCCGGCTAATTTAGTAGTTTGTAAATGTTAAAGTTAGTCGGTAGATTCAATAGAATTTTTCACAGGAAATTAGGTGATAACCATGTTTCCAGTTATTGTAAATATGTCAATAGCCCTGATGGTTTGGGTTTGATTTTCATTGTATTGGATTTCATGATTTCTTAAGAAATATGATGAATAGAATCCACAAATCAGACTCAAAATTGTGCCTGCTACCAATCTTTAACACACGCAATACTCGCCTTCAAGAACTCGCCGACTCTATCCATCCTGATAAGGAACTTTTTATAGAGGTCGAGAGCGTCCCGGCAGTTCTTCTTGTTCATATCGAAGTACTTCTCCAACAGATTTATGATACCATCATTGTAGCACGCGAATAATCTGAAATATAGAAGCTGACGTTATTACTGTTAGCAAATAGCAAATATTGAAAAATATTGTTCACCTTTAATTGATACGATAGTGATACAGGCAGAACAATAGACTATTTGATGTTTAGTTTAATCAAGGGGCTAAGCGTAGCTAACAATTTCCTTGTTATTGTGTTGTGATTTATGTATCTGAAAGTACGACTCCCGTATCTCAGAATACAGTATGTTTTTGACATACGGCAGTAATATAGACTCTGAATCTTACCATACTATCAAAAAGCAACGTAAGGACCCCACACACATACACTAACTTTCTGTTAACACTTAACCTTCATAAGGTCTTTAATTTTACAAATGTTGCTGTCCTTTGGGTCAGATTTGACCCAGTAGTAGAATTATACTGAAATATTGATAAAAAATAAAGATGTTTTTTACTACTACCTACTTATATTTATTTATATAGAATTACTTTTTATTTTAATGAATTATAATTTTATACATCTAATAAAAAAAATCAATGTTGTTAAAACAAATATTTCCTTGTTTCAGTTGGTACTTAAAATGTTGAGTGATACGAATTAATTATTTGACGCAACTATATAATATAATAGCTTTACTAAAGAGTTTATTGATTAAAGAACAACAACAGAGGAAAAATAAAATATTGCGTTCCACATTAATAACAATAAAATTGCATACCTGATGAGATCCCTGAAGAGCAGCATGAAGCACATGTTAATAACACCATTAGTGAGGTCGTTGGCTGTGCAGTCGAATTCCAATAGAGCATCGAGTTGAGCCTGGAGCACTGGTAGAGTTTTGAGCAGCTCCTCAGCATTCATCATACGAAGGGAGCCTTCTTCTTTCCTGAAACGTAACGATGGATTGGCCAATGTCATATGCCTTATAGTACAAATTATAATATACTTTCCCAAGTCACTTGTTTAATCACACAATGGGTTTATTCCACATGTTAAGCTTAGAAGTTCTGGATTCTATATCCAAATAAGATATTACTAGATTAAGGATTTTAATTAAAATTTATTACAGATAAGTTGCTTAACGACTGACACACAGTAATATTGATGTATTGAATATGTGACCTAAAGCCCTTTTCTTGAAAGAGTTTTTAATATAGACTACTTTCTGGGAATTCTACTGTAAACTATCTCTATATTTTGGTACAAAACTGACTTACCCCCTCTTAACCTTGCAGAAGTCGAACGCGACAGTCCTGTACGACAACGCCTTGTCGTTGAGGTACCTCGCGTACCGTCGGATAAACGGTGACATATCATAGCCTGAATGTATAAACAAATTAAATTATAGTTCAACCAACAATACCTTTCGCCGTATACATTTTGCCATTACAATTTTATAATGAGTTAAAACATTTTTCTACTTTTAGTGAAACAATAAATTTGCTATTATTTTGCGTCTAAGTGTGTTTGTGACACCTCTAACTAATAATGCAGTAACTAGTAATGAAGAGGTTTTGTTTACACATACAAAATACTTTAAAGGGCTGTTTAAAAGCGGTTGTTTACTTAGTAAATGAGCCGCTAAATCGTATGACTTAAACCTAATTCTAATCTACTTACATTTTACAAAGCAACTTCTAATCTTTTAAGCAAAATGTGCAAGGTGCATCGCGTGCATTACATAGAAGCGTAAATACTTATTAGAGTATACGTAATCAAACAAAAATATACACGTTATCTGAATTATGAAAAGTCAATTTCTTATACGAATGTTTCTTTAATTGTTAACATACTACTAATATATTAAAACAAACAAATGAAATTCAAAAACTGTATCTGACCCAATTCATCGATATCATTTTTCCTTGTCAGAGAATATCCAAGAAAAGAAACAGCTAACACATAGAATCCTACAAAAACGATTAATTTGACGTTAACTAGCTTCGGTTATTATCTGTCAATTGTACTTAGTTTTTAAAAGTATTAAGCAACATATAACATTAATGCCTGGTGCATTATTACCTGTCAAATAAACAGCAACGTAAATATCGATTATGAATACTTTTATAGTCTACCTACCTATTAAATTCTCTGAAGCCCAAACGGATGATTATTTAATCGAAACCACCCGTTAACAAGTCAATACATTGGCTACACATGGCTGAACATAACAAAGATAAAAAATACGTGAAATCAGATGCTTCAGGAGAAACAAATTTATTTCTACACACTTGCACATCGTCTGTGTCAGTCTCGCAGATCTTATTAAAAAAAACACGAAAATGATATCTAGTTATGAACATTATGCTATACAGTCATAACACGAACCATTGTAAAGTTACTGTTTGGGTCAAGGTTGCGGAGATTCGCACGGAACGTCATACAACTAAAACAATGAATGAAAACAATGTTTTTTTTATAATAATGGCAGCCGTTCACATGCATATCAAAACAAAATACTGAAAACTCTAAGCTAAAAGACCAGAATTAGCGGACAAAAACATCAAAGCTTCGAAAGACAATATATTCTGACTTTAAATTAAATATACACAAAAAAGCGACTTAATCGATGATTACAAAAAAGCAACACAAATCTTGCGAGTGCTGTGTGGTAAAAACAGAAAAACAAGTGCACAACTCATCTAAAAGTAAACCAGTTCCTTTATTTTTAACGATAAACAGAGCCTCATAACCCAAAAGCGTGTCCCCGCTGGCGCCTAAGCTCTATGCAGAATACCAATCGTAAGAGCTACGAAGCGTAGAATTGTTTAGAGTCAGTTGTGAGGAATTCTTACAACAGTGTACGACTCGTAGCAACTTACTATTATGCATAGAACCGAGACAAGAACACAACAGAAGCAGCTAATTCTCAATTACTCACCAATCCTTGCACCGGCGGCGCCTTCCCAAAAGCAAAGGAAAAATCAAGTTAGATACAGTAAAGACTTAAATAGATTCGTAATAAACTTGTTAGTTACAAACATGTGGTTCTTTAGACATTTTTTATTAATTACGAAGCAGATAAAAGCGTCAGTAAAATAATCAATTTTATTTTTAAAATATCATGTAATTTAAATTCTAAACCCTTCTCTCTTTAAATATAGTGAAACAAATACGCTTGTCAGAGCTTTAGGATTACCGGTATGTTAACATGGCTAAATTGTTTAAAAGTATATTACGAATCTACCAATCTTTATATCCTAAGACGTGCTACGGAAACCAGTCAATTATCAGCCTTATCATAATGAAAAATGCTGATTTAATGGAAGAGATTATATACAGTTATATTTTTATCTTGATATGCGTTCGTGTGACTTATGTCATATCCTGCATACCTAAAACAACACCAAAATACCATTGGAACTGAGAGCATAGAACTCAGTCGCGTCATGGACGCTATAATAATCCGTTAAAAAAAGATAATTCTTGTCGTATTTATAAAACTATTTTATATTTTTTATTTAGCAACGATTTACAATTACATAAATTATGCTTAAACTACGAAGGATTAATTTAATATGATATAATAATTTTCGATTTCGATCAATATACCTACGAAAATTGTCATAACGATTTAGCAGATTCAAACTGAATAAATTATAAATATGTATTATATGCATATGAAATCCTATACTGGTAATGAAACAGTTCATGCCGACAAATAAACATTCAATCGCAAATATTATAATTTCCATATACCACTGGTTTCCATACACGATAAGCGACATACAATGTTAATAAATCCGTTGGATCAATGAATCATTATCGAGTCGTTAAACATTAAATGGCAAATAAAATGTCTATATCAAGGTAATGTGGGAGCGTAGCACGGGTAATTGTATAAAATTAATAAACACACTCGTAAAGATTAATACAAGTTTTTTTTGTAAACAGTTCATTATTATCCCTTGCAACAGAGGTAGACAGACGATTTAACATCCGCCGTACTTTCTCTCTACGGATATTAGGGTTAAAATAAAAGATAAGAGACGAAGCAATAGCATGTTTCATTTGAGATCAGCAAAAACAAACGAAACGTGCAATAAGGATCAAATCACGAAGAACTTCACGTTCATCTTTCGTTCTCTAATTAAAATGGTATCTGTATAACCTACTTTCAATCCTACCTCCCGATTCTAATACCAGTTCTTGAATCTTTGCGAATATAAACTTTGAGATAAACAATATAAAAATTTACCAGAGTTAAATTAGGAGTCAAGGGACGGGTCGTCGGTAAAGGAGAGGAGAATCTTTGCTTTGATAAAATCAACATGTTTTGTCACGTAGAGAACAAGTGGCTAATCAGCTGCACATTATCAATATATGCAAATCAACGACATGTCCTCTAAATGACGTTGAGTGCATTGAAGTATCTCAAATCATATATAATGTCTTATAACTTTATCTGAATTATGAGCAAAAAATATGAAACGCGTTACAAATTGCATACGTATAAAAGTATCAAATTTATTTTCAATTAAAATACGGAAAAATTTATTTATCAACGGTACTATTAATATTATAGTCGTACTGTAACTGTAATGATAGTGACATGAAAATTAATCATTACCAAGCAATTTATTCATTTGCAATTAAATTGTAAAAAAAGAATCACAAATCTTAGCTTCTCAGTATACCGTAACCCTTGACCTACGCCACGGCAATGAATTTAAATGAATACGTATCACGTGTGCCTCTATAAGGTTCTTTGAAGATATTATTTTGTACAAGTTCTCTACTTCGTGAGAAATAGGAATGTTAACACTAACACCTATTCAAAATATGACAATGTAACCGTCATGCTACTTTATCTTTCAATAATTTGGCGTTCCATGGTCTTTGCATCCAATATCCACCGTTAATTTCCATTAAAATATAATGGCAAAAAATTGCGCGAATAACCAAGGCCATGTATCAAATATATACTACAACGAGTTGTAGAATTTGCTTTAATTTCGCCTGTTTTTATTTAAATTGTAAATATTGTAAGGTCTTCTTACAGTTCGCCTAAGTCTCTAACTGAAAGTAGTGTTATTAGACACATTCTTATGGTATATATCCTTTATTAGTCAATTATGTTAGATTTAAGTTACTTGTTTTAAGTTAGGCAATATGGTAATGTCCAATGATGTCTCAGTAAAGAGACTATTAAAAAAATCCAGGAATTACATCTTTCGAATGAAGTGGGAAGAAAAGTCGATGAAAAAAACTCTTGAATGGACAATTTCAAAAGGCACACGAACGAATTAATAAGTTATTCTTTGAATAATTCAATTTAACGGCAAAAAGCTTGTCAAGTACAGTTACATATAAGTTAGATAACGCGTTATCACTTATCTGTATTTTCATAGAGGCGTAGTCCGGAAACGCCCACAACGCATTTTTACGTCTTTCATTTATCTTGTTAATTTGTAATTAAGTGAGCCTTGGGCATACCCGATACTGAGATAGCTTTGTTACAGTCACTGTAACTAGGGGGTGAGATTCAGAAACAAGCCTTACCGCGTACCCCGTATGTCAAAATCCAATACATTTTTGACTTAGTCTCGTGTCTGAATTTCACCGTAACGGTGGCGATAGGATTCCCTCTATTGTTAAAGGGTCACGTATAGCATTAAGTTGTATGGCTTAACACCGCATCGCTATTTATTTCAATGTCAGTGACAATGCTGCATTCGGGTCAAAGTGTTGCATCTCAAGTATTTCGCGACTTGTATTTGGTAACATTAGCTATTCTTAGACTGACAAAATTCGGTTATTTTGCCTCGGATTAAAGATCGGATATAAAGGTTTCAGAATATGCAGTTTTGGAAGTACCCGACTAATCAAATAGTAATCTTTTTTTCTTACTTTTCGCTGTTTTTATTTATTAAAAAATTAATAAAAATGTTAGTTCAATTAATGTAGTTATTATTGACAATGATAAAATTGTCGTATAAGTATAGTACATATACTTCGTATGCATTACTTACATGTAATAATTAAATTAGATATATGTTATAGTTACATATTTTTATTTTATTAAAATCATCTTTTTAACTTTACCAACATAAATATCAATAACTCGTTATCAAGTATCAAAACCACTTAGTCTATTATCAAACAGCCTTGTAATGAATAACGGTTACAAGGTTTGAAGGCTCACAAAGGATCAATACTATTTCACCCGTGCGTAAGGTCACTGTGTGTCGATGAACTTCAATCTCGTAACCCTTGCTCCTGACTAGGTAATCATAAGTGCACTGGCTCGCGACATTGTGTTGCATAAACACTGATAATTTCTGTAACGTGATATTTGGTACTGTTTTAAGACAAAATTTCTAAAACTTTGTAATTTTATTGTTTGTAAATTAAAATTGTATTTGCTTTCAGCCTAATTAAAATAGTTTTAGATAATTGTTTTAAAGAGGTCCAAATATAAATTAAGTAACTACTTTGTTTTATAATTATTTACATGACCAGACAGTAGTTAAATAACTATCACTAAGAAGTGTGAACCCTGAATTACAAAGGTCCTTTAAATCGACCTAATTTGTCAATTAAACTGGATCGTAGGGCAATTCATCTAGAAAATTCCATTTTCCTTTTAGACATACTTATGCTATCGATCGCGGACCACATGCGCCGCAGCCGTCCCAAAACAAACCTACACCACAGACAGACTGTTAAGAAATTCTCAAGGTGTCAGAAGAGCCTTGAAGCGGAAGTTCCGAAAGGTAGATTTGCAAACCTCTGACTTGATTATTACTAAAGAAAGTCCTCGTGGTATTCAAGGATAAACTTCGACAATCGACTTGTTGGCCTAATTCGCGAGAGTTTTTTTTAATTTTAAGCGACTTTAAAACCCGAAATAGGTTTACAATTGAACGTGTATTTATTCAGATCATCAGTGTATATGTAATATGTATAAATAATTAATTGATAAGGTTTTTCTTGTTTTATTTGCTGTAGTATAAAATGGCAATAGTTTGTAACTTAAACTAAAACATTTATGGATTACGAGGAAAGAAATATTAACTCATAACATATTTGCGCATACTATATAGAACTTACAACCACGAAAAAGGCAATATGACAAAATTATGTAAACCCACAAAGTTTGGTTTTGCTTTGAAACAATTTTTTATAATAATTTGTCGCAAAGCTTTCTAAGGTAGTAATTATTTCAGGAATCAATGTATAGTTTACCTATGTGTAGGGCAAAAGACATAGTTGAAATTTTTAGATTAATACTTATTGTAGAAACCGAGGAAGAATGATTTAACAACACAGACTGATACCTACTAATTAAACACACAATATCTATTTTATTTAATATACAAAATATTGTCATAGTAGTTTAGAAGTTGACGCAAAACTAACATAAGTCACCCTTATCTTTCATAGGCAATTCAGGCTTCCTTGGAAGACATAGCGAAAGAGCCTGCAATCGGGGTCGCGTGGTTGAATAAGGCAATGACACCGATCCAGCGTTGGGTAATGCCAAAACTTGGCAACCATTATGTTACGTCATCAAGCGTAAATCGTGTTTGCGACAAAATAGATACATTGATAATTTAGCTTATGCTAATATTATCTATGCTATTATTGGCATCATGTTTTATGAAATCTCTCTATGGTTTGGTGTATCTTGAGAATTTTTTGCGTAGTTGGCTGTATTTAGACTATTTATTGACGTTTGTGCGTAGAAGCCTGTTTAGTTTAATTGTAAAATATAACAACTTTTTAATATTCATCATTTATAATTTGTCTGTTACCTTAATGTATACGAAACTTTTTACGAAATACTTTATTGGTAAATTTGACTTGTAAGGCCCTTATATATACCCTTGATTAAGTCCTTAATTTGTTTATTTTGTATAATTTGTTTCTACCATAGACATTTTATTTGCAATGTAGCTTATAAAGAAAAAGATATTACATACCTTGAACGCCGCTTTTATCTAGAAAATTACTCAGTTGAAACGACGAATTACTCGACGCCAAATACTGTGTGAACCTCTGAAAGAGAAAAAAAATTAAATAAGTTTTATATTTCTACTCTATTTTTACGGGCACAGATAACCTCGTGATCTGTAGAGTATAGATCAAGCTAGGCAGGCTGAAAGCGTGTCTCAACAGACTAACTTTTTAAAATGCTTTCATAAGTGCGAATTTTGGGCTGGCTAAGAATTTTGTTAGAAAATTTATTATTTAATTTCAGAGAGATACTTGACTACTAGAATAAGATGTTAATAATATTTTATCACAAATATGTATACAAAATTACTATAAGGAAGAACCTAACACAAAACTGTGTAATTAAAAGCTTTAAGTTTAAGGATAACAACTTTTTAAGACATCTAAAAGATGATGAAGATAGATTATGTAATGATTAATCGAGGTCATATTGATCGAAAGTTCATATAAAAACCTTAGCTTACAAAATCGTAAAAGCTTTTTTACCAGTATTTAGCTTATGATAATAAGTATTGCAAATCAATTTGAAAGTACTATCAAAAGTGAAAAAGGTCAAAACGTGTCAGGAATGTTAAAGAACTCTCAAAAGATTGTCTTTCCCTAACGCAAGTACTATTCAATTCATAAAAATTTCAATAAAAAGGGATATAAATGTAGTTGATTACAGTATTTACATGATTCGATGTTTAATTTGATGAAGAAGTTTAACTTCAGTTTTTAAAATTTTCTGGGTATAACAATTTCATATTAGAAAAAAACACTATTCAGGTAACTCAATGTATACTTATGAACGTCAGTAAAAACATAAAGCTTCTAAATTTACAATTACTGCCAGTTCTCAAGGGCGTAGAGCGGACGAGAAGAACTGGCAATAAACTCGCTCTTTAAAATCGCCAATCGCCGCGTTTTTATACATAATTCAAAACCATAGGTGATATAAGTTTACTTAATTTTAATTATATACTATACTCGCTATACAAAAGGCCCGTGCAACTTATTGTTGGGGACGTAATGAATTTAGTATAGAAAATTTGATCAAATTAAACACGCGGCTCAAAATACGTTTATGATATTGAGTGGAGTTCAGGTACAGGTGTTTAGGATAAGATAATATTGATCTCAGGTGCGAATAACAGGTCGTTTTGCCTTTATGTTGATTGGGCATAAAAGTCATACACGATAAACTTTTTCAGAATTTATTTTTATGAATTTTTCATTCATTAAAAATACCGGGTCGCCTGAAAGGGATAAGACGATATTACATTGAGCGGGTAAAAATGTAATCATAATATGACTATCTCTTATTGGTTAAATAGCAAACTTTGGATGAGACTTAGTACTATGCCTCCCGAAGGTCAAAATCCAATATTAGCAGAGTCAGACGTGGCGCTAAGCCTCTTCTCAATCTCATCCTTTTATGTCTTTTTCTTCGACTGTATATTATTCATTTCATATAAGTCAAGCAAGTTCCACAACAAGTTACAAGGACACAATTAGGTACAAACCCAAACCAATTAGGTATATTTATCGACATATATAGAATACGTTGAGACAAATAAAAAATGCAATGACAGAGCTTAATTTAATACCTATGGCTTTTTTGAGATACTGTGGTGCCGAACAAGTTATTACTAAGTTGATTATAGTGAATATTGTATCCTAGTAGTGTTATTAGATTTTTTCCAAGGACATTTCTGATATTTAATCCGACGCGTGTTAATCAAATCCAATACAGAATTAGCGTTCTTGACTAATTATCACTACACTAATTGTTTCTGCTATGAACATTGAAATAGTTTGAAAATTATTCAGAATATTGTTGTGATTTAGTTTTGTACAAAAGTTCCTAAGGAATTATTAGCCCTTGGACTAGCGGGCTTTCTTGTATTCGAAATCAAAACTCGAAAACAGGATTTCTAGCTAAATGGAGTTCGTATATTAATAACAAAACGTACAGCCAATATGTTATGAAAAGTCGCAACGCATTTTATTACAGAGATCTAATAATATACGTAGTTGGTCCCAAAGTTCTGTCACTAGCACATTATTTCTACATTTCGAGCAGGATTTTATAAAAAAATTATTGCATTCTATTTTGGAATGTTTGATTATTGTTTTAAAACAAAAAACAATAACTTTCCGTAATTTTTCACGATGGAGTGGACATTGAAAGTAAACCGAATAGTTGTTATTGCGTTGCACCGCTGTGGACACTCGCCGAGTACCATTTTCAAGTTGCTCAAAAATTTGAATATAACGCTTAGGTTTGTGTACGGTACTATTGATAGGTACCTTGAAGTCTCCAGTGTTGAGGACAAGAAAAGAACTGGCTGGCCACGCTCCGCAAGAACACCAGCAGTAATCAAAGCTATCAAGGCGCGGATAGTAAGAAATCCTGTCCGAAAACAGAAGTTGATGGATTTGCAGATGGGTGTCAGTAGGAAAACAGTAAAAAAGGTTTTAAATGAAGATCTTGGTCTACGAGCATACAAAAAAGAGTGGGCACTTACTTAATGCTCGTCTAAAAGCAATAAGGCTTAAGAGATCGCGGGTGTTGTTTAAGCGGTACGCGAAAAACCGACACCGTGATATCCTCTTTACGGACGAAAAATTTTTCGATATTGAAGAGAAGTACAATAAACAGAATTATACAGTGTACGCTAGGAGTACTAAGAATTGATATATCACTCATTACAAACTGATCAGTACTTTTGTTTTTATCATTATTTACATTTATGACAGAACTTTGGGACCGACTACGTAATCTCAAGTTATAGTGTATTAAAAATACAAATATAATCTATCCATCACAAGCTAAAAGTCGACAAAGATCAGAAAATATATAAACAACATTTTGTAAAAAAAATACTATGATAGCAAAGGCATCTTCTAGATATAATGTCACAGACTGATGGTGTTAGATTTCTATAAGTGGATACTATAAAAACTCCTTAGATATATCTATACTAAAACCCAATAGTTTTGATATCGGCCATGTATTCTTTCCTTGCTTAAAGCATCATAATTTCTCTATCAACACTGAAGTAGGCCGTCTGGTTTATCATTTCTATGAAAATATGTCATTTTATTCAATACCGCTATTAAGGCTTCAATCAAAACGACTCATTCATCTCCCGCCTCCACATTTCGTGTTTATTGGGCCGTTTTAATTTTCTTCCAGACTGCAGGATTCATTACTTGAATTGGCAAGACTTATGTTTTTCAAAAGAAATTCGCCAAAGTTGGCGTTAAAAACATCTCTATTATTCAAAAACGTATTGCTATTTAAATGTTTCGTCCATATCACTCTCTCGTAAGATGAGACCAACAAGAATTAGGAATAAAAAAGGGATTAATATTTTTTTTAAATAAAACTTAGTTAACGCATAATATTATTTACGTAACTCAAATTTTCGAGTGCAGAAGTAATCGTGGTCAGCGAGAGACAGATTTTTTTTAATTTAAAAAATTGCGCCTCTAATCCTAGTAATATTATAAACGCAAGAGTTTGTATGTATGGATGGATGTTTGTTCCTCTTTCACGTAAAATCGACTGAATGGATTTTAATGAAACTTTACAATAATATAGCTTATCATCAGAATAACACATAGCCTACAATTTATAAAGATATTGTGTGAATAGTAAAAAATAAATAACAAGTAAGTAGGAAAAAAATCTACCATCTGCGACTGGCGTGCCAAAACCGCTAGAGTTACACATATGTAATGCATGATGGAAATGTTTATCTTAAATAGTCAAGATCTTTTTAGTTGTTTTTTTCTATGTCACGCTAATATAAGCTACACGAAATATTAATCCTTCAAGCCACCCAGGGCAGGCCTAAGAGCCCAGGTGTTTCATACCAAAAACTGCTTTATTCCACGGACTACGCAACTACTGGGTGTGGAATGTCTCATTAGCAATTTTCGGTACGGAACAAGAGTTGAACCGTAAATGAAATAGAGTTTACCAAAGACTTTGTAGCTGTTAATTATACATACCTAATGTTTTATAAGTAATTAAAGACAATAAATAAGTTTTGACCTTCTTAATTCCCACAGGAAACCAAACGGAATATAAGGTAAATAACGTTATCATCATAAAAATATCAACAGATATCGGTTGTTCTTAGCTAATTTCTACTTTACTGTCTTATCTTTCCGTGTACGATATAACAAAAAAAATATTATTTATGAGTTTGCAGCGTCATAACAAAGATTTTCTTATGAATAGGTTCATTTTAAATTTTAAATTAAGCTACTATCCAACGCTAGACAAAAATATGTTTGGCGGTTATATCAAAATTACGACTATATTAATTCAACTTACTTTTAACATTTATCGATTTAGGCTTTAATGATTTTTATTTTAATATTAAAACCACGGATACATTAATTTGTATACCATTATGTATATTGTTTATGATTTTAGAAATTCAAACAACATAGTGTATAGTAAGTAAAATTCAGTAAATAAAAAACCTTATCATATATTCAAGAGCTACGCGCTATGGCAATTAATTTTATATTCAATCGAGCACATTCCTACATAACTACACGTTATTGTACTGAGTTCAAACATTTAATATGAAACGTTTTTCGCGTCACAATAGAATCCATCCATTGTCACAAATGTCATACTTTATCAAACAAATTAAGACACGCCAAATCGAACTGAAATATATATATTTTTAAATAGAAATATATACATATAATATATGTCACTATGAAAATCTTTTATACTTATAATGAAGGTACAATCATCCCTAAATATTTCCAATGTTTTCCTGTCCGCTACATATTTATTATATCCATAGATATTTACATGACGGGTACATTCCTACAAGTAATGATAGTATGCATGTACAACACAAGAGAACCACTTGTATCAATAAAGAATCGCTATTTTTGTTGAGTCCAATATCCAATCGTAACTTACGAATTATACAAAGTATGAAGAAGCTGATTTTTTTTTGTTTGTATAATATAAAACTAGGAACTAAAATTTCTAAGGTTTCTTTGAGATTTATTCAATCATAAGACGCATATTACTTTTTTTGTGTCAAAATTAAACCTCGAGTGTAATTACATAATTAAAGTTCTGTTCTCCTTAAACCATAGAATAAACACGATTGAGCAAGTAAGATAGTTAAAAAAATGTAATAAGAAAAAAAATAATTGCTAAAGGAAAAGGAAATCTAACCTTAAAAACAATCAAAATATTCATTTTGGAAACAGATTAGTATATGATAATATAAAATTAAATATTGTATTATAGATCTTCGTAATCCGTCAATATGGTATTACCTACTGAAGGTAAAAGAACTCACTTCATTCCCATATGCTAGAAGATGATGCACTGTGATAAGGGCCTTATAAACCACTACCCAATTAGTGTTCTGTGTCCGCTCAACTAGGAGGTTGGCAAGCTGTGGTATTGACACATTTGGCTCATTTGTGCAATGGACTAGATCTGGAAAAAAAATATCATTATTACATACTTACTTATTGTCTCGTTAATCACTCGAAAAAAAAACAAATAAATTACAATATAATAAATCTATAGTTGTTATAGATGTTGAATGGTGCTTCCAAATTAATATATTTTTAATAAATACTCAATTTCTATTATAACAAGTACTTAGTGATCATTTTTTACCTCCATCTCCTCTATTTAGTTAGTCCATTGAAATGTTACGTGGGCTGAACATTTTTTAGAGGACGCAATTTTATTTATGGGACATGTAGGGGGATGAATACAAGCATAACCCCAAGTTTGTGGGGTTGGCGCCCTTGTCCCCCCGGCCGCCATCTTGGAAAAAGGGGTGAAAAAAATACAGACATAATTGTAGGCAAAGCGATTTGCTACAAAATATGTTTTCACAAATTTTTTGTATGATGGATAGTTTAGGAGATATTGTCAAAAACGTTTTTCACCCCTTTTTCCAAGATGGCGGCCGGGGGACAAGGGCGCCACGTTAAGTGTTAAGCTTGTATTGACACCCCCTACATGTCCCATAAATAAAATTGCGTCCTCTAACATATGTTCAGTTTGGCCCTCAAATTGTAACATTTCAATGGACTAATTAATGTGAAGCCAATCTTAATTTTAAAGCCAGTAGTGCATGTGTTGAATCTTGGGTTGATAAAAAAAAATAAAAGTTAAAGCAGTGAAATTAATTGAATCTTATTGGAGGTCAGACTCAAAGGTCATAGAGGTAACTAAATTATTAATAGCCCAATGCTCTTGGCCAATATAATATAATTTCAATTAATATTCTTAACTCTGTAGATTAAAACAAGTGAAGTTGAGGCTTGCATCTCCATCTATGTAGCATTAGACTAGAAATAATTAATCAAACAGCGTAACAAATTATTTTAAACATAAATACAGTAGAACCTCTTTATGTTGAAAGCCTCCATTACTCGAAAACTCAACCCTCTATTAGTCAAAATAGTTAGTGAGTCCCTGGATGCTTTTCTGGTACATTCCTCTCTATAACTCGGAAAATTAAAGTAAAAAAGAAAATAAAGTCCTCTGTATCTTATAGCAATGTTTTATTTAACAACATTTACATATATTCTAAGTCAAAATCACGTGGTTCTACTGTATAATGTTTTTATGTTAAAAATTCTCATAGAACTTTCAGTTTAGGAAACTTTAAGTAATAATTATTTTAAAAATGTTTCAAAGTAAAAACAATACTTCAAAATAATTAAAAAAAAATTTAATTCAAATGTATAAGAGTATTAAAAGAGCTATATGAAGAAACTTATTTGGTACACCCTTATCACCCTTTTAAGATAACAGAGGAAACCATATTTAAAAAGTATCTAGTGATAATTATTTTTATATATTTCTGAATTACAAAAATATCTGCAAGATAAGAGAGGAAGTGACAATGTCTGCCCATTTATCATGTTGCGCTACAATCACTCCCAAACAGATACATAAACACATGGCTAATAAACAATGTATTTTAAATTATATATTTGGTAACATGAACATCTGTAAGGCTCACACATAATACTAAAAGCACACAGTATTAGTTAAAGTAATTGTACTTGTGAATAGTACAAAAAAATTGGATTCATTCACAAACAATAAGATATTCTTTTTCACGTGTACTCTAGTTATTAAGATATTGCTTTATCATTATTAGACTGTTAAGGTAAGATTTTAAGTATAGAGCACATTAATGCATGCGATATATTTCATAGGTAAATTTAACAGAATCAGGTAATTAGCACTCTGCTACTTACAACTTGCACTAAAGATCATTCATGTGCCTAATCAATTACTTAAAAGGAGGGAGATTAAATAAGTATAAATGGTTTTAATATTTGATTGTTAACACTATTTGTTCTTGTAATATTAGGGTAAAACTTATACATTTATACACACAGTTGAAGCAGTTTTCAATTAAATAGCTTATCTTTGTGATAAGATGGTAAATCATTTTTAATGAACATTGGCATAAAAATTCTCTCTTTAATTATACAAATACACCTCTCTGGACTCAGAACTGCAAAGATAAAAAAAATTGTCTGATGACATAATTAATAATACATTATGTTTGTTAAATTATTAGAAAAATCACAAAGGAAAATACAAAAATTTCATGGTTTCTAATAAATATATTAAAGGACATCTACCTTTCTTTGGATTAAATTTATATAACTATTTATTATGATATTATCATGATGTACAGTTTTGTACTATTTTGTTATATCATCACTTAATGATTATGTAGCACTTATTGAATGTTTGAAAATTATGTAGTATTTGTAAGATAATGAAATTAATTTTATTGTAACTGCTTATTAGATTTGGCTTGGCTCAAAGACTCAGCATTATTTCTAGATATATTGGACCACTCTAATAATGTGATAATTTAATGATATAACATTCCATATTATGTTAAAAGGATGGAAGGTATGTTGGTACCTACAATAAGAACCCTTAAAATTTGGTCGATACTTCGTGGTCCGGTACACAGTTACAGTAACATGGCTGGTAAGCAAAAGCAACATATAATACTTACAATCTAAATGTTTCTTTTTCGGTGCAATCATTTCTTCAGTTGTGGCTTTACATACAGATTTTGCTAAACCCTGGCCCGCAATACTGTGGCGTGCGGCTAAAAGCCTATCGTTTATTGTCTGTCCCGCCATCATCACGCTAAGTCCTGACATAAACTAGTTATAGAAACTCAAAATCACTGACGATTACTTTTTCATGAAAATTTCTAAAATTATTACAGGACGATGACGAAAAAAATATGTCACCGCCCCCCCAACTGGCACTATACTAAATCCAAAATGGCTGACTAAGACAACCATAGACGGTAGAATGATAAAATAATTTTCTGACTTCTACTAAATATTGCCATATTACAATATGTCATAAGTAACATGACAAAAATATATGTATTATAGTGACTAGTATCTTATAATAAAATACTTAGTAATTTTTTGTTTATATCATGTTAATATGGTCAATATTTGTAATTATGCATAGTAAAAAAAAAGTCTTATGCACATTCATCAGTAAAACGCCTTACAATAAAATTTCAAAGAAGGATCAAAATTACAAATTAACAATACAAAAATGTTTTATGTATGCGTTTGAAGAATATTTTTTTACTTATTTATATAGAAGTAAGTATAATAAGTGTCGTAAGTACACGTGTATTTTACATATACACACGATCATGACACTATTCATAACTGGAGCAGAGTCTATAGTTCACTATGGTTTTTCAGAAGAATTTTATAATTTGTATTATAAATGCTACGTTAAGTCACTAGTAGTTTAAACTGTAAACACATGGATTTTTAAACTAAAGCAATTTAGTTAGTTCAAAAACTGTAGTTTAGTAGTACGAAAGAGAAGAATATCGCCATTATAACAGGTCGTACTCTATATTCTATAATAATCTATGAAATCTCGTCAAACTAGAACTTACCGAAATAATCTGTAATAATTATTGTTATTTAAAAATAATAAATAAGCAATACATCTAATTTCCATATAACCATAATAAATTAGTAGGTTACCAAAAGTAACATAGTGTGTATTAAAAATTGCTTACTATTATTCAGAAAGGGTTAACACTTTTTGTTTTTGTTTGCTGGTACGTGTATAGGACCTTAAAAAATGGCCAAGAAGAAATGTTATAAACGCAAAGGCAAGAAAACTACTTCTGCAGTTTATAAACAAGATGTAGATAATAAACAAGACGAAGTCAAATCTGATATTTCTGTATCGAAAATTACTCTTGAGCCTTCCAATTCCGTGAGCCAACCTGTTTTATTAAAACTATGCAGGCTGTGTGAGACCAAGGACGGGCCATTCGTAGAAATGTTTGATGCCGAGACGATGCTAGCTAAGAAAATTGATGATATAATGCCATTTGTGGTAAGTAAAGTCCTTAAGATTGACCTTTTTTTTACACATTGACATATTTTCCTTGGAAAATGTGTCTTATATTTCTGTAGATGGTTGTACAGTACAAATGCTTTGCATCTTCCTTCCTTACCTTTATTTTTAGTAAAGTATTTTCTCTCGTATACTAAGATGATAATGCTTAAATGACAAATGTAACTAAATAAATATATATAAGTTTTTTATCCCATAAATAAATGAAACATTTACTAACCCAGAATACATTCTGTGTCTCCTTAGTGTAGCCCTGTGAAGCAGCCCTTTTAATATTGAAAAACCAGTTCAAACGATGAAACGGGCTCTAAAATCTGTCCATTCTAGAATTTTTTAAAAACCTGTCCTTTTAGTCTGTATCTCAATATATTCTGTTTTCAACTATCATAAAAACCTAAATTTATTTTATTTTTTTATATCTCTATTGAGAGTAATGGTATAGTCATAGTCTTTTATTAGCGTAGGTGGCCTAAGGCTAAATCAATTAATTAATCAACATAATAAAATTGACAAGACCCCTTATTCACACTAAAACTAATCACATTTAATGTGAATCAATCTTCAGGTGATTTGATACATATCTAAACTTTTTTTCATAGAATGGTACATAAGTTTTGTATGTTAACTTTAATTTTATACAATTGAAGACCATTGCTACAGCTGATTACCAGTACATAAATCCAGACATAAACGTAATGTATGCAACTATAGGCCAATTTGTATTCTAAACACTGTTGCTAAAGTATTTGAATATGTCATACAACAATAAAATACAGTTTTATTAAAACAATACTTATTCCAAAAACGCATAGATTTCAATCTCAAATCTACTATCACTACTAACCTTTCTGAATAAATAAAAATATCCTCTGGCATGCCTCAAGGATCTCACTTGGGTCCTTTACTATTTGATTAATATAGGGGCCGTTCATAAAATACGTCACACTAAAATCAGCTTTTTTTACCCCCTATTGTCACACTGTGTAACACTTTCTGTGACCCCCCCCTAGAAATAATTCGTCACAAAAACTAACACCCCCCTCTTATCGATGTCTTTGTTTTCTTATATGTACATAGGCTGAAAACTCCTTTTTTTTTAAATCGAATACCATTTTTTTTTAAAAGATTCTCGGTCTTTTTACAAAGTTTTGTCAAACTTGTTAAGTCGTTGAGAAAATGGAATTGACTCGAGAAAATTCAAGAGCGATGATTTATTATGACTTTCGAAGTGGTTTATCACAAAAACAGTGTGTTGATCGGATGATTTCTGCATTTGGTCATGAAGCCCCATCCAAAACCACAATTTATCGCTGGTTTGCTGAATTTCAGCGTGGACGTGTCAAGCTCAGTGATGATCCCCGTCAAGGTCGTCCATAAACTGCAGTCACCCAAGAAAACGTTGATGCTGTGCGTAAGCTGATTGAGGAAGATCGACATATTCGACAAATTAGACTCGAATCGACTACGGCGTTCCATGATCGCATCTTTGTTGTCGTCAAATAATTGTAGAAATTTATTTTGATCAACAATTTCTAACATTTCGTTGCGAAATTGTACGTACAGTAGAACCATTTCTCGTTTATAATTGACAGTTTTGTCCATATCGTAATGTCTGCATCGTATGACACGTCCGATTAGTCGTCTGCGGTATTGATTTTGTGCTCTTGACGCTCTTGCTGCGGGTTCACTTTCTAGATCTTCTTCGCCATCCACGTGCACGTCGTCCTCCTCGTCAACGAAATCATTAGCTTTAGCATACCACGATGCAAACTCAGCTAAATACACTTGTTCTAAAGGAGCAGCACGCTCTTCATAGCGCTGGATTATGTTTTTGGTCCAGACTGTTTTCGTCAAGCCCTTCGCGGTCCATTTGTTGACGACGTTTGCGGCAACGTTGTCTTTCCGTCGGCCATACTGTTGGAATGTACGCAACTTGACGACTTGTCTCGCTCATTGGTTGACGTAGGAGATACCATGCTGCTTCTTGCGCGCTCGACAGCGTTAAGCAGCTTGATGCTTAAAGCTTTCAACTGGTCTGTGTAGTCCTGTTCGGGATGCTCTTGCATCATCGTAGTAAGCTCACGACGTAGATTGCCCATTTCACGGGCTGATTTATTTACGTACTCCACAACATACTCTGCGCAGCTGTATTCATCCAAGATAAATTGAATGTCGATATTCATCCATGCCCGCGTACCGACGTTGATCGAGTGAAGTACGCAGCTCATACGCCTTCTGTTGTAGTGTTCGACGGCGTTTATCAGATTGGAACCAATACACGAGTCGTAGACATTGGCCAGTACGGAATTCCGAATCTACAAATTGTCTCACCTCGCTTCGTGCATGTGAAAGTATGTTTGTGTATCTGGTTGGCGTAGATGGCATTGTTAGGTACATCATTCCGGGCTACCGTACTCAATTTTTCTACGAGCTCAATGGTTTTTGACATATTTTCTGACGGGGTTTCATGTGGGTCGTTGTTTAACCACAATAAAATGTGTGCGTGGGGGCTTCCTCGATGTTGGGACTCAATACGAATGCTATCTCTAACAAAATACTATCTGAATGGATTACAGGACTGTTTGGATTCCAGCATTTTCATCAAGGAACCGACGAGCTTGTAGAAGTAAATGCAGCACGTCACAGGATCGTCGCTAACTAAAGTACATCGCTTGGAAGTGTTGAGTTCTCCTGCTGATTTTCCAGGATATTTATTGCTCAGTCTGAGAAGTATATATATATAGTAAGCAATTTCATCCATCGTATTTCGTTTGCACTTATAGTGAGAAAGATGGTTGGTTTACCAAGTTGACGAATCATGGCAAAGAGATCTCGTTTGCGAGAAGCCCAGTATTGGGCGGGGTTTGGCACTTTCTTCATGAATGCGAGGTTTTGTAAGACATTCTTTCAGAACATTTTACCATTTCTTGTACGTCGACTGGTATGTTTATCACTTGTCCTACGATTCCATAAGAGAAATCATGGCGCAGACGACGCTCTTGCATAAATGGTAGACGAGGCGAAATCAATCGTTCACTGATGGGATCAGGAAAGAGTCAGGATAAGAGAATCCATTAACTTTTGCTAGCGGTGGCATCGATTGTTTGATCAGTGACTTTTTGCAAGTGTTGCAAACCAGTTTATATTCTTCTCTGCTCAGTTGTCGATTTTCTTTGATAAACCAATCCGAAATTACCTTCAGATGTGCTGTAGTGATGGGTTTAAGGTCGTTTCTAAACCAAAGTCTGTCGCAGACCGAGCAAGCGTAGCCAAAATCGTTGTCCAAAAAGTAGATTAGAATTTAAGACGATAATTGTGGAAGCTCTTTAGTCTAAGTACTTTTGTTATTCTTCTTTTGGTTACCATTTTCTGTTGTTTCTCACGTTTTGTGTCTGAGTGTTTTGTAGTGTTCAAAGGTACATTTATTTTTGTTTGTAACCTATATCTATGTTATGTGGACAGATATGTTTTTTTTATCTGTTAAATGTGTATTGCTATTAGTTTTGCCAATCAGGATTCCGAAGAAAGAGTAGCACGACTAGAGCAATAGTCGATATTATGGATAGTATCTTAACGGCACAAGACACGGCTACAGTCCTGGTTATACATGTTATTTTGACACAAACATAAATCTACTCTTGGCTAGACTATCCTACTTTGGATTTTCTGAGGAAATGGTTAAATGTTTTACTAGTTTTTTTAGAATAACGTAGCCAGATGCTGAAAGTAACAAGGGAAGACGGTCAAGTGTTAAATTCTGAGCGTAGCTTCCTGTCAAATGGTGCGCTCTAAGGATATATGCTTGGTCCCATTCTATTTTTAGTTAAAAGTGCCGATGTTATAAACAGCATCTCTGATTATAAGTATCATATTTATTCTGATGACAACAATTTTAAATTTCATTTCCTTCTGATGATACTGAATCCGCTGTCAGGAAAATGAACAATGATCTAGAACTAATCGCAAAATGGTCTAGTAAGAACACGTTAATTTTAAATCCAAAACAACATATATTCTGCTAGGAACACCTAATACTGTAAAAAATTCAATATTCTAATATGATGATTCTAGTAGAGGCTGAAACATCTTATCTTGTGTGTTGTTATATCAGAATTTGTATATTTGAGAAAACCTTTGCGAAGCGCTGATTCTCAATGTAGAATGCAACTAAATACTGAAACACCATGCCCCCTACAATCCGCGACATCCAAGTTATTACATTTTTCAAGATATAAATATTACGTTTTGGAATGGCAGTGAGCTGGTTTAGGTATTTTGTTGCATTGTCTCATGTTCTATGTTCTGTTTGTTTGTGTTTGCAATTTGGTTTTGTTAGTATTTATTTTTTTACGTATGTATGCTTTAATCAAATAAATGTTTTTTTCTTTCTTACCTCATTTTTATTATATATTTATTTGGTGGGTCTATATAAACTTGTAGATATATAAAAATTATATCTGTAACACTACTGAAGTAATTTTTGCACAATAGGTCTGAACTATCTTAACTCTATGATTATTATGAGTTAATATATTTTTAATTAAATCGTATTAAAAGCCGTTTCCTCGTTTCAGATTGCTGAAAATGATGATTTGCCCCAAAGAATTTGTTTCCGATGTTCAGCGAAAGTTGAAGAGGTATATGAATTTATACAAAAATGTCTTAAAACTCAAGAGAAATTTCAGGAGGCAGCAGGGATAAAGGTAGTTCTAAAGCAAAAACAATATAGTTATCGATCAGCTTGGGAGGACAAGTTAAATGAACGTAATATTTCTAATGATGATGTATGTAATGCTCTCATTTTAAAGGCTATTGAAGGTATAAAAAATTTACCCATCACACCTTCCGGCGAATCAGAAAAAAAGATCATAAAAAAAGAAACGCGATTATCATTTAAATCTCTTAAAGAAGATAATATAGATGATTATAAGAACAAAGAAGATTCTAAAGAAATAAATAAGCCTATTGAAATCCAAAGAAATACTAATAAAGCTCAATCCGACCACTCTGCACCAAAAATTGCTGAAACACCTAAGGTTACTGACAAGCAAGTAATGAAAATAAATACATTTTGTACAGATAGGGATCACTCTACAGAAATATCCGAAGAAGTTAAGCCATTCAATATAATGGATCACGTAAGCATGATTAAAGTGAATGGCGTAGGTGTTTTATTTCAATGCAAGTTATGCAATCGTAATTTCTTAGTAAAGGAAGTTGTAATGAACCACAGATGTGCTAAAAACGGCGGCAAAAAGATTGCAGAAGAAGAAAAAACAGTTGCGCCTCCGCCACCAAAGGTTCCTCTTATAAAATATATTAATACTAAACCACAAACTGAAAACATAACATCTGGAACAAAATCCAATGAATGTATAAGTAAAATAATCAATAGCACTCCCATAAATGTAGATGATGATGAGGATGACACACCTTTACTGCCTCAGAAGCCTAAACGTAAAATTGGTCCAGCTAGCAAAATAAGGCAACTTGAAAATATACAGTCAACAACATCATCAGCTAATCAATCACTACAACAAACATCTCAGATACCTAGCTCAGAAACCTTAGTTGCGGCACCTACTGTTCAAATGCCAAATTCTGTACTACACCCGAATAGTCGATTTAAACTTGTTCCAGGACCGAATAATTCCTTTATGTTAGTTGAAGATAAACTTGACGATACTCCTGTATCGGAATCAGTGACCAACAAATCAACTACTATTGAAAAAATGAATAATTTGCAGACATTAACAGTTAAAAGTGGACCAAAATCTAAAAGAACTACAATAAAAACGAATGTTAACCAACAGCAACCTTGTCCTACAGAACAGCCGTATCCAGTACGTTTGATCAAATCTGGAGTTGCTTGTCATTCCGATTCGCTCTCTCCTTCTGAAACCACACCAGGCAAAAAACAGTCTTATACAATAGTTCAAACTGGGAATCCCAGCAAATTGCTCATATCTACAAAATCTCATCCAGCTGATGAGGTTCCCACCAAGAAATTAAAACAAACGGTCAGAGAGAATTCATTTTCTGGTTCATCAGAGAATACACAAAAATGTTTCACATTTGTTAACGTAGATTCTACTACACAACCTTCTTATGTATTACCAACAGGAAACATAGTCCAAGAGTCTCAAATATCAACTTCTACAATTAAACCTGGTGACGAAAAAGATAAATATCCTTGTGATATTTGTGGGGAAAAGTTCTCTAGGGAAAAGAAACTGCAAGGTCATATACAATCACATTACAATCAACTTGATGAGGAGGATCAGAAAAGAGGTTCCACGAAGAAACGAAAATTAAATACTTAGGTAAGGGACTTTTGGGCTCTACATTTTAAGTGTGATAATAAAGTGTTTTCGATCCTGTTTAAAGTCCTACTACCTACTTGACTTATAGTTGTCAGTTCTACATACAGCTGCTACCATAAAAAAAGGGTACACCCAAATACTTTGTTGATTTATTAATCAACTTTTAAATTATATTACATTGTTTGTAAAGTGCATTTAATATTCCTTAGGTTAAAAGTTCAATAATTTGTTTAACATTACTTAAGAAATATATAATATATATTATAAGATTTAATATTAAATTTTACATACTGATTTTTATTTGTCGTCAAATAAAAATCAACGGAACTGTAAGAACCTGTTAAAACTTTTCAATTAAAAAGTGAAATTTAATTGGTCAGCCTTTATAAAGTATCAACGTACAACCAAAATATTCATAATAAATTTCTACTACAAGTACTGGTTATCAATAACATAATCCAAGAGTCGCAAATAAGTCTTGAAACTGAATACTTAAATAATGTAATCGTATAATATTTGTATAGTCTTCTGGGTCAGAAATTATAGGTTATATCTTAATATATATAAATTACGTGTCAAGTTGTTTGTCCGCGATGGACTCCTAAACTACCGAACCGATATCAATCAAATTTGCACACCGTGTGTAGTTTGATCCAACTTAAAAGATAGGATAGCTTACATCAATTTATACTCAATATTATTTTATTGCAAAATATTTGTTTATTATTTGATAGTCACAATTCTAACAGATGGCGCTGTGTTGAAAGTACCAACGTTTCACATAAGCTACAATTTAACATGCATAACCATATGCATAACCACCAACAAAGCAAGGTGGTCCCCATGACTGGTGTTCTCCTACCGTTTCCCTTGAATAGTTAGCTACTATGTAATATAACAAAAACCTTAGCCACAGCAACGCTTGGCCGGTCTGCTAGTTAGTAGACACAACGCATTGAAAAACAACAACAGATGGTCGCCATTATGCTTCCATACAAGCATCACGTACTGTGCTGTGTCAATACTGTGCTGTGATTGGTCGAGCCGCGATAGAGGCGCTTTTGTTACTCACGATCGGAATATCGGATAGAGGCGTTTTTGCATCTAACTGCTTACTTCTTATGTGATCTTGTATAGGATAGAGGCGGCTTTGGTCGTATTTTACTGTATGAAACCAAAGAGAAATAGAAGGTTTGCCAGAATAAAAAAAACAACAACAAGGGCTTGAAAGCGGATAGAAGCGCTTTCGCATCTATACCCCTCAATTATGTTATAGACCAGTCAGTCAAGACAATTAATTCATAATACTTCCAAAAGTTTTCAAATTTTGATGTAAGGTCGGGAGTGGTATTAAAACAAACAATAAAATTTTGCAACCTGCTCTGCGGTCCGGAACATTGTTCAAAATAAGTTTTGGTCGTGAAAAAAATTCCAAAAGTTCTGCAAACTTGGGGAAGTTTTCGATATAATATTTCATATCACGTATAAAATTTGCAACCAACCTAAGTGTACGGAACATTTTTTGTTATTAAAAATTAATGTTTTCTTTATTAAACTGAAGGAAAACGTTCCAAAAGTTCTGCAAATTTGACAGATATATCGAAAATAAAATAAATAACAAAAAATGTTCCGTACACTTAGGTTGGTTGCAAATTTTATACGTGATATGAAATATTATATCGAAAACTTCCCCAAGTTTGCAGAACTTTTGGAATTTTTTTCACGACCATACAGCAAAAATTAATTTAATTGCAATTTTAACAATGTTCCGGACTGCGGACAAGGTTGCAAAATGAGATTTATTGTCGTCCCAATGTACCATTCACTTGACCGAAGTTTGAAGACTTTTGGAATTATTATCAAATTTTCGATTTCGAATGTCTATAATGACTGGCCTATAGTAAATAAATGAAAGTCGATTGCAAGATAATTTATTTATTGACTCGTTTAAGAATAAGCCATATACATAGATCGAAACACATAACTATTTTTAGTACTAATATATTGTAGACGAGTATAATTAAGACTAGAAATTCATCTGACGCAAGTTAAAATATTAGAAGCTATAACTTACAATTAGATCTAGATATAATAATTAAAATAAATCGATTAATTTTAAACCATACGAATCACGCGATATGCGGTTGTATGTAGAAGTGTGATTGTATTTAATAAGGGCTTTGAGAATATATTGTTTTTTATGTGACATTAATTGTTATATTATTTTATTCGAAGAATTTATATTGCTGATATCCGCTTAACAAAAACGACAAGAGATGCCTTTGAATCATATAATTGTTTAGGCGCTACCATTTCATTTAAATCTGTAGAATATTAGAACATAATATATGATTTTGTAGCCAAGTAAAACTATTTGATAGAAGAACAAACTAACACATTCTGTAAATTACAATTTGTGGTCTATGCCATTCTATACTTTCGTTTTTCAATTGCATCGAATGGTACAAATACCCAGCCTTCACCATGATACAATTTGTCGCAGAGCCTACATGGCTCTCATTACTATTCGTTGTCTTCGCCCGCATCACAATGTAAAATAATTAAGAAAGTTACACTAGCATATTTAATATATTATAATCACATTTTGATATGTAACCGTTATGAGCACCGCTCATTGATATATGGTATCGTTTACAAGGGCACAAATATAAGTACCTACATTGATTTTAAAATACTAAGACTTTAAATAACTATAAATAGAACTACATCTAATTTACATTGATATGCTTAAAATGGTCCTACTCTGGATTTTCGAAAGCCAGATATAAAGCGCATGCATTCTAAATTTTTTAAAGATTTTTAAACTTAATTAAAATTCAAACTTATTATATATTAGCTTTATATCTCGCTTAGAATGGACATTACATTTAAGGAGTCGCCTCTGACATGGCTTTGGGTGGAAGGTTTAGAAACGTAGTTAAGGGCGACGTGGACACATCTACTTAAAATTAAACTTAATCTCTACGTAACTACAAGTAGATATATGACAATGTGTCACCTATGAAAATAATACTATAACAAAAATTCACTTATTATCAAAATGATGACGCGAGTATTCCTTTTAAATAATGAATCAATCATTGATCATTCAAATCGGCTCGAGTCTGTGGCCGGATTAAGTCGCAACCGAAATGAACGAATGAAAGAGAATTATTAATTCCTTTTATATTTCATGGTGTCATAGGGAAGGTAACTATAGAATGAGGAGCTGATGGGACCGAATTGGATGACATGGTAGTAGTCAGAGGCAGACTCCGGTGCTACTCAATCGAGGAAACCGGTGTTCACAAGCTTCTCCAAGAAGAATTTTACGTCTCCGAGCTCACTGTCTTTGATGCCAAGAGACTTCAGCATGCCCAGGTCGCCGTTCTCCACCGCCATGAAGACTGAACGTAAATGTTCGAGATCTGATCTCATCAAGTGTAAGGCTGCCCCGAAGTCCTCTATAGTTTGTGATTCTGGAAATTTGACATGATAATCAGTAGTAAGAATTTTATAAAATGTATTTACTATTTTTCGGTAATTAAATTATGCCGGTAGACTCTTGACACTGGTTGAGCGTGCGATTTTTATCTTTAAATCTTTCAAATCCTGGCAGGGTTACACACAATCAACATTTTCTCATACGAAGTAAATATCGGGAGAGTGATTATTCCTTTATTATTTTATTTCCTTTATGTACAAAACATAAAGGAAATAAAATCTCTCTTAACAAAACTTCACGATCTTCAAATAAAGTATTGATTGATGAATTCTATGATTAGCGCATCTTAAAGTCATGAAATTGACACTTTAAGTTACTTTCAATTTGTCTACTTGGCACTTGACGATCTTGTAAGAAGTCCTTTTAGTATAGGAATGTTGTTTAGTAGAGTGCAAAAGTGATAAAATATTCAATAGAAGTTTTTAGTTTAGGTTTAAGAATAATAAAAAAATGTGAGCGTTTCGGGACGCCCGAGAGCTAATCTAAGTTGAACTAAGTATTCAATATTGCACTTGATTAACTTAGATTAAATAAAATTTGTTAAAAATATTTTTTTTTATGTATGTATCAAAACGGTGATAGTTTGAGGTTATATGCTCACTATCAACAGTAAATGTCTAACGTACACTATGTTGGAAGGTCGTGGTGCTGTCCACATACAATTGTCTATGATGCACTGCATTTAAATTTGGAATATCTTTATTTTATTATTCGATGTGCGGTGTCTAATTTTAATTTAATAGTCTTATATTTTTCTCATACAAGTAAACACAATGTTTTCAAGTATTATTTTCATTTTAATTAATTGCTATAGCCACTAGTCCACCCTATCACACTAAACACCGAGAGAGGGGAAAGTGACTGTCCGAAATACGGCTAACGCTGCGGGTTAGAGTGAGAGAAGAGGAGCCTGCCTACGGCTGCCGCAGGCGTGAGAGAAAGGGAAGCTAGACAGACTCGCGCCGTAACGCGTTACGTAACAAAGCGTATTACCCTCCCATAAGAAGTTATCACTTCAAAACATTTTGCAGCTACGTGAATAACTTAAAACCTATTAACAACAGCTACATACCAGAGAGAGCAATAGCAACTTTCTCCACCCCACCAAGTGGTTCCAGGGCATCTCTGGCTTTGTTACCGAACAATTTCTCGAGGTAGTTGGGGCCGTGTGAAGCCAATAGTGACTGCAAGAATGATGCGGTTTCTTCTACGGGCGGTCGTTTAGCTGAAAACGAAAACACAATACATAATTCAGTTTATTTACACATTATTAAGTGGGTTAAGCACTTTCAAGACAATACAAAGCTCGCTAAGTCCAAAAAGTAATTATCTTCTTTTCAGTGACGGACATATGATATCGAATAATTCTATATACTTGTTTTCATTAAAATTAGACAAATATAAAAAAACTAATTTTAGTGTTCTTCTATATATTTAAGTTTACGTAAGCTAAATATAGACAATAATTGTTCCAAGCACATTGCGAGTTGGATTCGACAAAGAATAAGCAATTTATCGTACCTATTTATAGTCCGTACCGAAGAACGTACTTGGGTGATGTCTCAAGTAAAACAGTTTCTAAAATGGGTTCCTATTTTATTATTTTGCACACAAAAAATCTAACGGTGCAATAGGCGACTTCTAGGGGAGCAAAATTTTTGTTAAGATCTCAATTTTACTAAAAAAGTAGATCAATTTTTGTGGAGAGTCTATGTATAACCAAAATGTACTTAAATATTTTAAATCTTCCAAACTTAATTTAACTTATACGTAAAGTATCAATTATGAATTGTAATTGTAGTGTATTAGATACGCCTGTAGTCTTCATTATTTCAAGATAGAAGATATTGCGCCGCTAAATTGAAGAAAAACTAAAATATTCTCAGGGGTATTAAAACGAGTGGCCTCTATATTTGACATGCAAATTGCTTCGAGCCTCCAATTTGTAAGATTCTCTTAGACCTCTTTTGTTTTTATTTCACAAAACACACAATGTTTAAACATGGCGTGGTCGTTATCTTGTAAAACATCCTAAAACCACAAAATGCTGAATTTCCCTTTGTCACAACTGCCCTAAAGTAAACATGGCCTTTTTGAATTTTGGGTGTTATTTTAATACAAATGTTATTTGTATAGTAGACCGAGGCGAATCGGATCACTTTTTCTTTGAGGTTGAGAAAATCATACTAAAGTGTTATATAATGTTATTTTTATTGATAAAATCGTAAGAAGTAACATTTAGCTATGCAATAAACATATGAAAACTTAAATCATACATATATTCTCTTAATTACCAATTAAAAACTAAAAAAAGGAAAATATCCGAATCGCCCCAACTTTCGGGGTGAATCGGATCGTACACAACATATATAACGAAATTTTAAGGTATAGTCTTAAATAACTTTGGAATCAGTAAAAAGTTAATAATGAGATCAATTTTCACATATATATGGTCCTTTTTTTCTATAAGCTCGTGAACGGTACTGAAAAAATCTTAGCAGCTTTACGTAAGGTCAATTCTTTGTTTCATTTTTTCTTGAGACCATTCTCCGGCAGCAGTCTTTCTCTTATACGTGCGAACCATCTACAATGAAATAAATATGAATCAATAACCTCAAACATGTAATAAATCAGTTTAAAAGTATCATCTAATTCGCCCCTGAGGATATGATCCGATTAGCCCCATAATTAAGACTTTTGAAATAAATATTTTAGAAGTTAACCTCTAAGATTATACTTAAAAGCGAATTGGTTCTTTAATATAAACACCTAGCTTAACAATATAAACCAATGTAGTTGAATTTTAAAACAAATCCGTCATATGACACAAAGAAATCGTAAGTACGTACCTTAGATGAGCGCCAAATTGCGACACACACAAAAAAAAGAGTGGCTGACGAGCGGCATTGCCACTGATCCACAAGCGCGATCGAAATGCTGCTTATGTCGGGAGGTGCTCAGTAAATGGAGAGACACAAAACGCCCTTTGAATGCGTTCTATGTGAATGTGATATTTAAATTATCAACAGATTTCCTATTTTGATCCGATTCGCCCTGTTATCCGATTCGCCTCGGTCTACCCTAATTGATTGTTTTAGATAAAACTGACTATAAAATTCTTTACCAATCTACAACATTAGTAATTACTGTAACGTAGAATTTATTTTTCTCGTAGGTAACGAAAGATACGCAATGCACTCTCTATATCATTAATCACATAAAACAATGATAGGTAGGTACAGATCACAGATGTGTCCGATACGATAATGGAATAGGCGCTGACAGTAAAGTTTATTATAGTCAAAAAATCGCCATGACCTTATCCGTGTCGAGGCCAACAGTTCAGGTCCTGCTGTGGAATATTAGGGGTAGGTAAGGATCCATTAAACCAGTACGACAGTAATCAATAAACCATAGAATATATTTCCACATGTAAAACCAAATTCTCACACCGCCAATTTTCTTATCTATCTATTCAGCTATACAACAAACTTAATAGGCCTAACTAATAACTTAATAGCCTAAATTCTTATTCGAAATTAAAACAATAATTACCAAGTGGCTTTGTGCACTAAACTATGAAGAAACTGAATTGCTAGTTCAAGAATAATTTAATTTAACCATTATTTATTTCCACAATGCACTTACACTATTTTACACTAGCACTCGCCACCTCCCATCCCATCCATCCCTTCCCTAAGATCATCATTCTGGTGTGTACAAATGTCTCAACTTGTATCTTTAGTTTAGTAATAAGTCTTAGCTTTCTAGTTTTCTTTATAATATAGAATTTTGGTTTCAATTATTGTTAAGTTACTATTGCATTAAACCGTTTGAAGTGCGGAGTACCCTGATGTACAGGTCTCCCTAGACTTAGTTCAGGGGCTGCAATATCTGCTAAAAATGTAACTTATTATTGAATTAAAAAATGTTTTTTTTTTTTAAATTAATGTTACAAGTTGTCACGGCGAGCCAATACGCAACGCAATAATAAATTTGAGACCCAAAACTTCCGATTACAATTAGGATCCATTTTCTAAATCGTAAATAAGTATCCATTAGTAATTAATGCACGTACTAAATTGTCCAAAACGTTTTGTGTCGTTTCGCAAATTAAGAGTAATTTTCCATACTGAATCGAACTTGAATAATGTGAATTATGCATTCGTAAATGTAGGTCATTTCAGTGATTCATGTCCCCTGAGCGCGTGACATTTATTTATTAATACTTCGTTACCTTATACAATAACATACATATGAAAGAGCAGGTATATAAAATAAGGAAGTATGGAAAATAAAAAAGAAACACCTACAGAGGATAGAGTACAAGTGCATAAATAATCAACAAAAAGAACATAAATAATCAACAAAAAGAACATAAATATCACGTAACTATAACTAAAATAAACTAGAATCTTAAAAAATAATAATATTATTAACAAAAATGTAAAAGCTAATCTTAGGGTTAATGAGTCACAATTAATATATATAAGTAGTTAATTACGAGGCAGAAGATAAAAGCTCAAAAAAAAGATTTTTAAATAAATTTAAAGACTGAGCTCGTCTGATATCAAGGGAAAAGGAGTTCCAAAGGAAAGGTAAAGGGGGAGTGATATAATTCAGTTTAATGAGTAGGGGTTTAGAACTAGATTGTCAAGCGAACGCAAATCAAAACTACCGCCAGAAAGGAACATAAAATTTTGCTTTAAGTAACTAGGAGTTTTATTATGAAAAAGAACATTAAAGAGAAGTTGTAAAATGTGCAACATGCACATCGAATGGGTAGCCATGAGCTTTCTTCGAAACTCCGAAATATGGTCAAATTTACGAAGTCCAAATATAAATCTGATGCAAACATTTTGTAAAAGCTCCAACTTATCAAAATACATTATTGAACGACAGATATAAAATTTAAACTACATATTTTTTAATACTATAGTAATTGTGGATTCAGATTATAGAAATACTTCTATCGCAACATTTTGGCTCTTCAAGAACTTTTAATTAAAAATGTTCTAACAAACCTGCAGTACAAAGCTTGGAATCTTCATCGTAACCATCAATGCAGTCTGGTGCACCATCGCAAAGGTATTGTATGGAGATGCAATTTCCATCCACGGGACACTTAAACGGCTCATATGGATGACAGTATTCTGAAAAATACAATAAATTGTTAAATTTAGTTAAAACATTTCCCATTGTACTCATCATAAACAATGATGAAACTTTATAAAGGTTTTAGAGCTAAATATTTTATTATTTTTGTTTAAGTATATATTTATGTATTGAAAGCTACGCTATCAGCTACACACTATCAGCAGCACATAGGTTAACTTAATTATAATCATCGGACTCATCCATTTTCGATAAATAGTTAACTACACGAATTCTAACCGATGTGTGTCCGTGCTTCATCTTAGTTCGAAATACTGCCAAGGTCGGTGTAGAAGTTTTCTTTCGACTAATAATAAATAATTGATTCGCCTTGAACATATGATAATTAAAATTTAACTTGAAATGCGGAGCGAGCAATAATTTAAAATGATAAAAATTTAATTTAATGGTAAAAGCACTGTAATTTATAATAAGAAAAGGGCTCAAGGAAAATTACGGTAATAAGGTTTTCTTGTCGCAGCTAAATTGCGCAGTTAATTAGAAATACTCACTAGAATTACAAGAAAAAGAAGCTGACGACCGCTCGTTAAGAGGAGACATCTACAGTTATTACTTAAGCTTGTGAGATGAAATAATTATACCAGCACTTTGTCCAGTCGTTAAACTATGTTGCTTTAGTATAACAGTCGAAATCGTTCATTAAAACTTAATGATCATTTAAACGATTCATATAATAATAATATAGCCTTTATATTCCGAAACTCTGTGATTTTAATATATGTATATGAACTTTAATATTTTCACTCCAGTATATCTCGGAGTTCGGTGTGGCTCTTGACAAAGGCCTCCTCTAACCCTTTCCACTGTTCTCTATCTTTTGCGACTCTTGTCTAGTTGTAGCCTGCTGTTAATTTCAGTTCGTCCTCCCATCTCTTGCGTTGTCGGCATCTTCTTCGTGTTCCATCTGTAGGGTCCCATTCCGTGAATATTTTGCTAGATTTTTCATGGGAGCTCCGTAGCATATGACCCGCCCATCTCTATTTCATTTGGAGAACATTTAAACCATTTAGTGAAGAATTAAATAAGTTAACGTATTTTTCAATGCATTCAATGCACTTTGCCCGCATTTGTGATGCCAGATGGGTCAAGAAGACCCTTACATCGAATGGTCCAGTGGGAAGATGGAATAAAAGGGATAGCGGAGCAGAATTGGGCAAATTGTCGCGAGGAAAAGAGACAAGTGGAGGATGCCTCTACTGCGTCGAAGGTCGAGTGCTAGTGTACAACATAAATGATATGGTAGTTAGTGTTAGCTTGTAGTTCAGTGTAGTGTAGTACTCGAATAAAGGCTATTTTTATTATTATCTTTCAATGCTATACTTTGTTCTTAAACAAAAGAAAGAAATTTATGTACCCCCTGGGGCAAAGCCAGAATATATTTCAAAGTAATCTTATTCACAAACTTAGGGTTAGCGATCTTACATTATTTTTCATTATTTCATTACTTCTATTTTTATTACTATAAAGTACCTAATGTAGTTGAAGAAGCTACAAGAGCCATGAAAAGTTAGACCACTACCATCAGAGAAACTGGTAAAAGCTGGTTTTGTGTTATTTTAAGGTGTATAATTGAAATAGCGTGTGTCTTTTTGTACACGACTCGTTGTCGATTTTCGGCTTTAAGATATTCTAAATTCCTGACAATATTTTCCTATGCCGTGCAAATAAGTGTAAATTACGAAATAATTAAGAAAAAAATTATTAGTGCAAAGTGACAACGGCAGAATATTGTAGAACGTTTACCCACCGGACGGTTGGCCTAGTGGCTTCAGCGTGCGACTCTCATCCCTGAGGTTGTAAGTTCGATCCCCAGCTGTGCACTAATGGAATATCAGCTGTCTATGCGTACGCATTTAATACTACACATATATAGCGACTATTTTTAATGAAAGTAGGTCCAGCTCAGACTAATGAAAGGACACTCCGTTTTTCGTTAAGAAAAAATTCTGATAACTTTTAACACGGCACGTATTTATTTAGTATTATCAGCTCCATTGCTCATTCTACTACAATTTTAGCTATGAATAATGCGAGCGCAGTCAGTTCAAAATTAAACTATTTTATTCAGTTATTGTATGAAAATTTATACTTTGAGCAGTTAGCGCAAGTAAATGAACAGTATAGTTCAAACTTATAATCACTTGCTAACCTGTTAATAAACTGTACAAATTATTATGAAAGCGAAAGACCTAATCTGTCAAGTTTTAACATTCGTTATTTACATGGAAAAATATATTTCATATTTTGTAAGGCATTTAGCAACGATTTAAAAAAAATTATATGCATCTTAATAAGTTTATCTCGTGAAACATACCAATTTAACCTATAGATATATTTTTGTATGTACATATCAAATAATTTCGGCCAATTTATTTATATATATATAATAAAAAAATATTATATATATAAATAAAATAATTAACTAGAGTTATAATCGGAATTAATGCTTTATATTTTTTTGTGCAGTATTTATTTTAGTCAGAACCCTAATTTATATCCCTATATTTGTATCGCTTGCTTTTAAAACCTCGTTTGCATTTTCAATTTTCCCAAGAAGATTCTTTTATGCTTCGTTGAAATATTAAATTGTGTGTATTCATAGTGGCTTAGTTTCTGAGTAAAATAAGCTTGAGCACGCTTTCAGGGCGTAGCTTAATTAAAATATAAATTGAATTTTAAATAGTTTTTGAGTGCTGCTTACTGCTTAAACAAATTGGTTTTATCTTGTTTTTAGGGTTGCAATTTTAAGTTTTAAATAAAACTTCTTAATTTAAAGTTGAGTGTTGACAACATAAATACCCTGTTTGATTGTTAATAATTTTAATTAATACGTCAATACCCACTATATAATGTATTGATTTAATCTTAATTTTATCAAGGTTTCCCCAAATGAAAGCCTATCACGCATCACAGTACTTATTTCGACAAAATAATTAAACAATTATTTTTTACTTTTACGATAACTAACGATAGGTACGATAAGAAAATCAACGACAAAGCTAGTTACACTAATTTAATTAAAGTTAATTTAATGTGACCTTTAATCTGTACAAGCACTAGTTTTGCCAGAATGGTAATTAGCACCCAATTATAAACGTTGCTTACAGAAGTAAAAATATGTTTCTATGTAATTGTCACGCATTAATTTGAGAATTTCATTATATACGTGTAAAACTGAAATCCTAATTAGAATAATGTTATGTTCATATAAAAATTTATTGTCTCCTACAGACAGTACTAAAAGCTTTAGTAATCTCTTAGCTTACATTTAGAAATGGATGATCAAAATTTCACGATATGTCTTGCCCACAATAAATTTGACAGACTAGATACATTTTATTGTGTGTCCAATCAGATATTTATGAGGATTTATTTTTTGCGTTACGTAATAAACATTGTCTATGTCTATGTCTATGACGTACCAGTCTTGAGCAATGTCACTATGTCAAACTTATACAGAGCAAATTATTGATAGTGTGTGTTTTTATCCGCAAATACGAAGTCATTTAGTAGATTTTTGTAAATAAAAATATTCTATTTGACAACTATAGGCCTAGTTACAGTGCCACATACTTTTCTTGGCCGGCGGCTGAAATTAGTACTACCGTCGCCATTTTGAAATGTCAGACTGACATTGTCAGTTAGCTGTAATTTCTTGGCGCGTACAATAAATAATTTTACTATACCAACATCTAATAAAAATCCAACTAAAATGTATTTATTTTTATTCCTTGCATTAATTTTTTTTTGTAAAAATGAATCAAGTAAAATAATTATAAAACATATATTAAACTATAATGAGTTAACAATGTAATTAAAAAGATCAACACACGATATGGAAATTCTAACAATGTTTGTTTCACTATATTATTAGAAACTAAAGTCTAATAGGTATCTATGAGTAAAGTAAAAAGGTATTGTTGAATTTCGGCCAACTTTCAGTTACAGTCATCATAATTTAACAACTTGATGGACGAACAAGGATTTCCACTTTCAAGGTTTAACCTCTATAAAGACAAAAATAATAAGCGTATTTTATTAGAGACAAAGGCATGGAATTACATAGACTTAAACATTGTAACCTTTTTATAACTTTATTATATTATACGTATTCGTAAAAAAAGATAATTATATTTATTAAAAATTAAAAAAATACAATTAGAAAAATGAACAAAGCTCTACAACCTCTTTAGGTCTTGGCCTCAGATTTTTGAATCTGTTTCATGATCATTTTTAAATCTAATAAAAAAATAGGTGATCAGCCTCCAGTGCCTGACACACGCCGTCGACTTTCGGGTCTAGGACATGTCGGTTTCCTCACGATGTTTTCCTTCACCGTTCGAGCCAATATTAAATGCGCACATAGAAAGATGGTCCATTGGTGCACAGCCGGGGATCGAACCTACCTCAGGTATGAGAGTCGCACGCTGAAGCCACTAGGCCAACACTGCTCTAATAATTTACAATTAACAGCTGCTATTGTCTACAATAACGCAATTTACAGTAAACAAATACCCGCTACGCCGTAGTCTGATTCGATTTGATCATTCGGGAGTCTAATATGATTAATAGATTTTTTTCACCTACACCTAAGATTCATCTTGCTTTTCCACTTTCAAAGATGTCCCACTTTGTAGCATACAATTACATTTGTAATTCCTGTACCCAGAATTGTGCAAAAATTTCATTTACTTTGACGCATAATGTTGGATTTGCGTAGGAGGAGTTCATTTAACTTATGACCTTTCGTTATGAATCATATATATGTACCACCTACGTTCTTTCGTTTGGGCATGAAATTATTACTCCGTTGAAATATCATCAATTCCCTTTCTACTTAATTGGCTTACTCTTTGCGTCATCTAATATACTCGTATATAAAATTCTCGTGTCACAATGTTCCTTCCCATACTCCTCTGAAACGGCTCCACCGATTCTTATGAAATTTTTTATGCATATTCAGTAAGTCTGAGAATCGGCTACTATTTATCTTTCAAACCCTTTAATGTTAAGGTTGGTCCACAACTAAATTTAAATTTTTTAGATAAAAATTTTTGTTTTTATTTTTTATGATACAATATAAAAATACGATCAGCCCCTGTTTTTTATTATTGTAGATAGTTATTTTTATTGAACTAAAAAAAAATGTTTCATATACATGGTAAAGCAAACATTTGCCGGGTCAGCTAGTTTATATATTATGATATGTATTATTTAGATTTTAGACGCTTCAGCCGACTTTAACATAATATAAGATAATAAGTCTTAAAATAATAATAGAGACCATCTCTATTATTAATTTAGGATTCAGTAACTTACTATCTAGATAATAATATTTTGCAAAAATAAATTATTTTTATTTAAACTAAATACTAACTGATAAATAATAATAATAATATTGTAACTATTGCACTTACCAGATCGCTTTGTGTGGTGTCCATAAAGACGTTGGAGGTCCAGTGAGACGGCGCCGCGCGCGAAGCATAGTGCAAGAAGTGCAGCCACGCACGTCGCTAGTCTACACGGTAACATATCTGTAAATAACAATATATCTATAAGGTAAAAATAAACACTATATTGGTGCTACGAAACTGGTGAATTAGACATCCATTATGCTTGGCGTTATACGCTTCGGGAACAATGGTTCGCGAGAAACATTATAGCGTAAAAGAGGTCATTAACCTACTTATTCATTTATTCAAACACACATATAGTTGAGACACAGAAACGAAATAAACTAACTTGTGCGGCAGTCACAGTATGAGATTAAATGTAAAATTACAAATGATTCTTATTAGAAATAGACAAAGTTAACACAAAATATACATTTGTGCTACTTTAGATAAAAAAACATTCATGGTATTTGTATCCTTTATCTAAAAGTAAGTACAAACTTTGCGTATCTTATTAGCGGAGAGTATTTGAAATAATTATTTGATGTTAAATTAATATATTGAGATAAAAGCTTATAAGATTATTATAGTACAGTGAATTTAATATCAGTATAATAATAGTAACTCGATTCAAGCAAATGTTTGTAGACCTTGCTCGTCTAAATTAATTTTAGTGTATACTAAACTCGATTAAAATTTTAGCACTGTCAAAGTTCAGTGGTGATTGAAGTCTACAATATTAAGTAATTGTACACATTTATAGCATTTTCTTAAAGTATATTAGTTATATAGCTTGTTGGGTATTATAGTTCCTACATATAGTTTATATTTTTAAGTGTTGGACGGATCATTGGACCATTAATTCATGTAACAGAGTCATAGCTATTAAACATAAAATGACTGAATGTATTTTGAACCCTTTTGAACACGATTTATGTTCCAATCCCAGCATTAAGACATGTTCCACTTGCATTAATTCCATAGAACCACGATATACTATCGCCTACAACTTTTTTCGGTTAGACAATGAATATGCAAAAACAACTATCCGTAGATATTGATGTCTTTTATAAAACTTTTAACAGTACTTTCGGAGTTCTGTTCATTGCAAAAAAAACAAATGAACAATCAAATCTTTCCTCTTTATAATATTAGTAAAGGTTTAGGTCATCAATTTCTATTCCATATAAGTATGTATGTTAAATGGTTCCAAGATATTTAAATTCAAGTTTGAACGGACTAAAACTGTTTGCACTAGCTGTTAGCCAATTTTCTCGTTTTCCAGTTATCACAAAAAATAAATAATTAAGCTGTCGTCAGCATTTTCTTTTCATTTAAGCTTTTAAAACAGAATTTTAAGTTACAAATGAGATGAGTTTTAATTATTATGCTTGAAAGGTTTCATAACTCTATATTATATTTGACTTTGTACAGTGAATATTACATTTCGTGAGGTTTTTGTTCATTCTATACTCGGAATGAAATTGGGGGTAATAATTGATTGGCTTATATTAACTGTGGCAAAAAAGCAATTTTTTGTAATCACATACATGACATCAGACTGACATGGCTGCTTATCTAAATATATATTATTTCAGTTGCCATATTAAATATTGTTTGTTGTTTTGTGAACTTTTATAAGTAATATTTTTTTTATACATGTGTCTCTACTAAGACATCATGGAACATTTATTTAAGTCTAATCTAATGAACTAAAAAGGATTTTTAACATAAGAAAGTGTACAATAACACTACTTATAGTCTTTGTTTTTCTGTTCTATTTAGTTAAGTAATTTAAAATAAAAAAAGTGTTTGGGAATTAACAATGTTGTAAAAACTGCAAAATTGTAATATTATTATGTAATTATGTAAAGCGTGGGCGGTATGTAATCAGCACATCAAAGAGCCTTGTATAAGCTTCCAGAAGATTAACACTAATGTTTCATCTAAATCCATCCTAAGGGAAATAACACCGTGTTATTATTTCCTTTAACTCGTTGAAAGTAAATGGTTGGTGAATAATAACGTAAATATACAAAACATTTTAAAATTGGAAATCTCAAATCTGTAAAGCACAATAGTGGTCACAAATAATTGTCTTTGATTTACGCTAGTATAACATATCTACTTTCTATTCAACTTTACCGGTCATTTAGTACATAATATATAACTTCGCGTTTATGTAATTTCCTAGTGTTCCACCATCTCTATCACACGTTTTAAATAACTTTTATTTAAAACAGTTGTGGTATTCATTAACAGCATAATGTTAAGTCGACTAATGCCAGTGCATTGTTCGATTACGTATTTGTGCGTTTTCGCTTTTGAGTATAGTGTTTCAGCGATCCAGAGATAGAATATACTTAGATATATTTGTATGCTTAAGCTCTGGATCGCTGTCTATGGACACATCAAACGTTATGCGTCAAGTGGCCCCGGAAATTTCCGCTGGCTGGCTGGATTGTGGCTGAAAACCTATTAGGGTGATATTTCGTAGTCGTAGTAGTCGAGATGTATGCTAAAAATATATACTTAATTGACATGTGAATCTTACGCTAAGGACTCACGAAGCGGTTTGCACCCGCGCCCGCCGAGGCTGCGGGCCCGCAGCCTTTGTAGAATACAGATACTTATGTAAAAAATTGAATCACATTTCACGACGTGTTTTACGCCCGCGGTGTGTGCGATTGTTTGCGGGTCCCGCTACACCGGCGGTCATCTTATACCGGCGGGCGCGGTTGCGGTCCCGCAGCCGCGGCGGGATGCTCCCACGCGCTCTGCGATCGGTTGGCGGGCGACGTTGCTTTTAAAGAGCAGTTTCTGTTTTTCTTAATAGTTCTAAATAACTAGATACGGACATTTGAAAATAGTTAAAGAACTTTTCTTCATCCTTCTTTAACTTATTAATAAGAGTAACAAATAATCCATAACGATCTCGTTCCGCAATCAGTGGATGCACCCAAAATCTTGTAGGCCTTATGATCGTTAATCCGCCCGTCTTGCAACCGCCCGTATTGCGATAATCCATCCGTTCTCGAGTTGTAAGTGTTCGAACAAACGCGACTGTCTTTACATATTAAAAGTATTTAAATATATGTAAAGTTGTGGTGAATAAATTCGTTAATTGGTTGCAGCAGTTTATAGACGAATGAACAGAAATAATTGGCAATTTCAGGTTTGTGAATATCGTTGTTTGACCTACTTTAAGTTTTGACAAATCATACATTGAACGGATGTTAAAATGATGTCCTGTCCCCAGGGAAATACGTTATGAAATGCGACATACGTTTTCAATAAATTTCTATATACAAACAGTAAAATATAAAATAACAGTTTTATTTGACTAAAAGTGAGCATAATTTAAATTCAGCTATAAAGTTTTGTTATCTAATCAAATCTTTCTGTATTTTTACGAGATTTATTGTTGTGAAATCAGTGGTGCTACGAGTGTTTGTCTCATATTAATGTTTCCTTGATCGATTTTCTAAATGTCAAGTAGAAGGTCAAACTGTGACCGACACTTGTTGTAAATCTGGTCTATGATATACACGACATGTTAAAAGTACGGAGAATTAATTGCGCACAAAGTAAAAAAAACCCAAAATAATTGGTTCAGAGTTCGAACCTTCAACTTCAAGGTTGAAAATTGCACGCTTAATCACTATACTAAATTTATACTACACTACACTTACACTATAGTTCACTTAAATTTACTACCCAATATAAAACCTTCTTTCATAGAATTAACAACGAAAATTATTTTTATGAATGTGTTACACGTGTGTGTGTACACGGAACAAAATTAGCGTATGTACCGTATTTGTTACCTTGGTTACCATTACTTGCGTATGACTACTACATATTTTATTGAAAATACAATACCTTTGATGAATCAAGTGTTTTCGCAAGTTTTTAAAAATATATTCCGAGTAATTGATTAGTCGAATGTGGCGCCAGAAGTATATTACAATATGCCACAGTGAAACTTATGTTCCGTGTCTATAGTCTATACAACTGTATATCAAGAAATCCAAATGTTACCAGACAATAAACACAAAAAAAAATATTATATTTCTTAGAACTTAGCCTGGCATAAAATGTATAGTTAAGGCATGCTGAACATTTAAATAAATATATTATAAATGAATTAATATTGAATATTAAAATTAAAACATATTTCATAAAATATATAAAAAAATATTGCACATGAGTTTTTCATCAAGCAACGAGACTGGAAACGATTTGTAACGAGTTTGTTGATAAAAAAACTTTGTTATTACGGCTTAGTCGTTGGTGTTAAGGGATTTAAGTTTTGCTTTATATAAGGTATTTTCTGTTTCGTGACAAGACTAGGGTCGTATTAATTTGGGATTGGATTAATAAATTACCTCAGTTCAGTTCAGAGAGTTCTCGCCGTATATTAGTTTCTATCGCGCACATTGCTTTGTCTTGACTGTTTAATTAAACTTTTTTATTGCTTAGAAGTAATATATTTACTTCGTGAAGAAAACTATCCTTTAATAAATATACTGTACAAAAATACTGCAATACTGTGTGCCATAATATGAAGTCAACATACTCGTACTACTTTAATAGTATCAAGAAACTTTCTTCCTAAAGGGAAGGTTAAAAGCGAAATCAAAATTATACCTAATTCTGGCAATTGACCGCGTTTAGGCACCCCAGTAATTTTCTTAACATTCTCAAACGTTTGATCAAATAAGATTCCGTTTATCAAAGTGAAGAGGAATCGTGCAATTTATTCGCAGAGCACTGCGAACAGAAAAGTACTTAAACGCAAAACAGCTGTAAAACCATTGATGACTCTTCACAACGTTCGCGGCTTCACGCGTTTATGATTCTCATAAAACGTCGGCATAATTTGAATCCACTTAAAACTGGCTTTTAAAGATTGTTTTCAGATATTTAACAGTGTCTTCCAGGTAAAATAATGGTAACTAAGACGGTACATATGTTGCTATTGTTCCGATTTACAACGAGGTCGATTGTGTTTTGTTTCTACTAATGACGCATTCCACCCTCGTACCTCGTGCTGAGTATGATACTCATAATATGTCCTTGTGGAGAAAATAGCATGCATTATCAATTAAAAAAAGTTCAGTGAACAAGATAAATTTT